GGCGCGGGCGATGCTTTTTACTTCTGTGGTCGGTGGCCGTTCATCAAGCGACTCCCATCACTTTTAAGCGTTGGCTTAGGCATTCATCGACGATACAGTGCAATCATCTGCTTGGAAGTCTAGTCTTCTTAAACATAGTGGGGATTATTGCCCAGTGAAGCATGTATAGAATGGGAGCCTTAATGTAGTTCAAATTTTATGACAGAAAATTGTTTATGTACCCCACCTTTTTCTTTGAAAGGACCAAAGGCATCTTACTGTGTATGCTTAGGAGCAAGTCACTTTTAAGTTGTGTAGGCCTTAAGTCTAGGCTCCTGCCTCCAACTTGTTTTTTTTAATTTAGGCTTTTTAGCTTATGAGAGTGTCCTTCACACAGTGCAATAATGCATTTTGGAACTACATGGGAAATCTGAGGGTGTAGGTTTGAATTAAGTGTTTCTTGTCCTAGGTAAAGATTTCTTGTCAATTTCACCCAGGGATGGGAAGATCGTAGAAAAGTGTTCACAGTTTGGTTAACTATCAGTAAACCCAAAAATCCAGTTGAGTTTAAATCGGGTGGGGCAATTTTTTAATGCTGAATTGCATTTAAATTTAGTTAGGTGGCTGCAATAAAGTCTTAGAGAAAAATAGAAAAAATCACTTCCTCTGCCAGACTCACATTGCTTAGCATTCCTAGGACAGCCAAATCTACCATCAGGGCTAAGACCTGCTAAATGAAGTAATTAACAATTTGATAATCTCATTGCTGTGTTAGCAAACATTGTCGTATAACTATCCTCCCTTGATTATAGAGAGAGATATGCAGGACATTTATTCACATCCATATGTTCTCATTCCGGCTGTTGCATGCAAAGAGGTTGACTGGGAACCCTAATACAGTGGTGCCTCGTTTGACGATGTTAATTCATTCCAGTGAAATCGCTGTAGAGCGAAAACATTGTCAAACAAAACGAAAAAATCCCATTGAAACGCATTGAAAACCCGTTCAATGTGTTCCAATGGGCTGAAAAACTCACCGTTCAGTGAAGATCCTCCTTACGGCGGCCATTTTTGGTGCCTGTAATGCGAGGAATTCGTCTTAGAAAACAGCGGGGGGGCCAGCCTTCCAGATATTGTTGAACTGCATATCCAAGCATTCCTCACTGTTAAGTATGGGGCTGGATTTGAGTTGCAAGCCAACAACATCTCAAGGGTCTCTTTTTGCTTAATTCTGGTTTTAAAAGTATACAGTAGCATCTCAGACCAGCCTAGTAACTGGAAAAGAGCTTTAAATGTTATGGTAGAGAACTATACTGTTCTTGCCATAGAAATATAACATTATAGAAAGCCACTGTTGGATATGGTTAGGTATGGTTGTGAAATGATGCTGTTTTAGGCCTCATCTTCTTACTGCAATAGCCCTATATATGTTATATCAGAAAACAGTGGCTTACCCTCGTCTTCTTACTGCAATAGCCCTATATACTGTATGTTATATCAGAAAACAGTGGCTTACCAGTTAAGCTTTAAGTCAGAAATACAACAAGGGTTTGCACTGGGATTGTACCATCTTTCTTTAAAAAATAAATAAATGTGGAGTTCTTTGTGTGGCCTTAGGTATGTCAACAGCTCTCAGAATAGTCTGATTCTAAGTGTGGAAACTACAACCAAGTAATAACTGACTGTCAAGTATTGACCAATTTCTGTAAATTGCATTTATCCTTTTTTTAAGTTGTACTGTGTTGTGATCTGACACAAGAGTAAGTTTGAGGGTTCCCAGTGCCCCAGCCCTGTTGAAATGACATTCACACACGCCCATGCTCCTCTTTTCTGGATTTGAGCTCCCTGAAGTGTTCCCCAGGCAGAATTATGGGAGCACCAGCTGGCAGACCTACACTTACTGACACCTACTCTTCACTCACCTGGACCAGGGCCTGTCTCCGAGGCTGCATGGCTGTATCAGGCCTTGTTTCCTGCAGTTAGTGTACAAAAAAAAGGAAGCTTCTGTAGTGTTTCCAAGAGACTCATAGTCTCACAGTCCATTAGGCTCTATACAGGTGTCTGGTTGCTTATGGAGGGCCTTTGAATTAGGCTCAGGACCACAAGTTGCTTAGCTCTGAGTTAAATCATAATGATAGTGCAATCAGATATGAAAGATATTTTAAAAAGGTAAAGGTTCCCCTTGACAATTTGTCCAGTCATATCCATATCTAGGCAGCGGTGCTTATCTCTGTTTCCAACCCATAGAGCTAGCGTTTGTCTGCAGACAGTCCTCCACAGTCACTTGGCCAGCATGACTAGACACAGAACGCCGGTTACCTTCCCAACAAGGTGGTACCTATTTATCTACAGTACTTGCATTTTTGCATTTTACATGCTTTTGAACCACTAGGTTGGTGGGGGCTGGGACAAGTGACGGGGGCTCACTTTGTCACGTGGATTCGATCTTACAACTGCAGGTCTTCTGACCTTGCAGTACAGAGGCTTCAGCGGTTTAACCCACAGCACCACCACGTCCCTTATGAGAAATATTACTTCATATGTAACAAAGTCTGATAAACTAGCAGAGAGTGGGCATTATACCTCTGGTGTTCTCTGCTCTTCTTTCTTTCTCTCATGTTCTTAAATATAATTCAATATTTATTGTCTATTTTCAGTTTCTTGTTAGATCTGAACAAGGAAACCTCAGATTACAGACCGATTTCTTTATTCAGATGTAGTGGGGGAATGGTTTAAGTAGGCACCATTACACCAGTTGTAACATTGGACCATACAGTGCAACATCTGAACTGGGCCAGGGAGATGCCATTGACAAGGAGGAGACAGATGAGTAAACTGACATTTGAATGCACATCTGTATCATATCTCTCTACCTTTGGTCTAAATGTTATAAGAGACATTTCGATGAAGTAATTATGAAAAGGGTATCTAAGATCACCTGGGTCCTGATGACTTTGTAAACTTGCATTTTTCAATTACTGTTTTTTGAATGAATGTCAGTTCTGAACCTCAATGATTTCAGCAATGTTAGAAACAGAAGGCAATATCTCTTTTTGTATGTGTATAAGATATGCTAATGAAACTGAATTAAATGAAAAGGCATTTTAAGGGGTGTAATGTAATAAGGCATTTTCTAAAAGAAACAGACGCAGAAGGAAGTTGAGAGTATGATCAAACCTCAAACAAAACATGGATTTATGATTTTTTTTAAAGTCCTGAAAAGAAGTGCAGCTGCAAGTTGTCAGATTGCTGTCATGTTCTGTTTTTGTATGAAAGTGGAATGAGTGATGATTGTGAGGAAGCAGATGGAAGTTACTGTATTTTTTGCTCCATAAGACGCACCAAATTTTTAGGAGAAGAAAACAGGAAAAAAAATAATTGTTTTCTTCTCCTAAAAATTGGTAAGCCTTATGGAGAGGTCCATCTTATGGAACACACCCTAGGACCCTTTGGAGGCTCACCAGATACTCACCCTGCCCCCCCCGGGGGTCAGAGGCGGCGAAATCACCACCTTCTGGGAGTCTTCTGAAGCTCCCCAAGCCTCAAAAGAGTCCCAGAAGCTGGCGATTTCGCCCATGCTGGCCCCATGCGGGGGTGGGGGGATCATCGCAAGGGTCCTGGAAGGCTCACTCGGACCCTTGAGACGCTCCCCCCCCACGGGGCCAGCGGGGGCAAAATCGCCTGCTTCTGGCAGTCTTCTGAAGCTTCCCAAGCCTCAAGAGTCCCAGAAGGTGGTGATTTCGCCCACGCTGGCCCCGTGCGGGGGTGGAGGGAGCGTTGCAAGGGTCCGAGTGAGCCTTCCAGGACCCTTGCGATACTCCTCCCACCTGGAACCTGGCGATTTCGCCCGTGCTGGCCCGGGGGGGGGGGAGCGTCGCAAGGGGCCTGGGAGGGTCACCCGGACCCTTGCGACACTCCCCCCCCACGGGGCCAGCGGGGACGAAATCGCTGCCTTCGCTCCATAAGATGCACAGACTCCCCCACACACACATTTTTTGGGGGGGAAGTGCGTCTTATGGAGCAAAAAATACAGTAGCTGGCTAGGAAGAGAGAAGTGGGCCATTTTATTTTTGCAAATAATTTAGTGACTTTGTTTCTGCTAGAAACATTTCTATGAGTTTTCTCAGGGTATGTTTATCTGTTGCTGGATACCCAATGTCGTGTAGACTAGGATGCAGGAGATCTAGGTTCAAATTTTTGGATAGCCATGGAACTCACTGAAAGCAGGGGCAGAACTGGTTTCCTGCCCCTTTTCCCTGCCTATTTTTGTTCGTATGTCAAAGCTCCATCCACAAGTCGAAGCAAAATTTTGTGGCCGGAGCTGTTCGTAAGTCAAAATGTTCGTAAGTAGGGGCTTTTGTAAGTCGAGGTGCCGCTGTATCTGGCTGCAGATCCAGAGGTTGGGAGTTCAATTCCCTGGTATGTCTCCCAGGAGTAGAGCCTGCCTGTGTGGCCTTGGGCAAGCTGCACAGCGAGTGTTGCCAGAAAGAGGGAAAATAAAACACTTCTGTGTACTGTATGCCTAGAAAACCTTGGGAAGGGTCATCATAAGTCAGAATTGACTTGACAGCATACATGTATATCTGTGGAAAAATGTTAGTTATTAAAAACACTTACGAGAATAATCAATCAAAATAAAAACAAGGTTCCAAAACTTAGAGCACTGTAAATTATAGAGTGTTGCCAGAAAGAGGGAAAATAAATCACTTCTGTGTACTGTATGCCTAGAAAACCTTGGGAAGGGTCATCATAAGTCAGAATTGGCTTGACAGCATACCTGTATATCTGTGGAAAAAATGTTAGTTATTAAAAACACTTATGAGAATAATCAATCAAAATAAAAACAAGGTTCCAAAACTTAGAGCATTTGCATTTTTATTAATTTTAGTTACTAATTATGTCATGGAAGACTGTGTTTGATCACTTTGGTGTGATTGAAGTAAGCCATTTTGAGGCTTGGAGACATGAGGCTAAATCCAACGTTGCAAGAGGAGACTTCTGCTCAGGCCGTGAGAATTTCCTTTCCCCATTGTAGCCCCTCATACATCCTCTTGTTCTCCTGCAAAAGATCCCCAGTCTGTCATAGCAGGCTTGGGGAGCATGTGGGGAGCATGGGCAAGGGGAGGAGAATTTAATATGCCAACAGTGTTTGTTCTGCTAGCAAAACACAGTTGGATGCAATCGCGTCTATATGGAAGACTTTGAGGGAAAGGAAAAGCTAGTGGTCAGAACTGCCCTTTGCTAAGGGAAGATTCTCCCCTGTTGTTGATTTTGGCTGCTGCTTTTCTTGCATTATTTAGCTAATTAGACACTGAATAGACTCCTTCCTAAGACACTTATTTCTCAGTGACCTAAATCTTTTGTTATCTACAGCAGCATTGGTGAAGTGGCTCTATTTTTAGCAGTTACTTTGACTCTAGACTGAGTCACTGCTCACGGAAGTGATGCTTTCACACCTTGTTTCATCAGTTTTCATTGCTTTGTAAAATGTCTTTGGTTGAGGGAATTTTTGTTATCAAATTAGCTACAGTAGTTTACCATGAGATGAATTAGAAGCTTTTTAGGCTGAAAGCTTGTCCTCTTAACCCAAAAGTTCAGCTTGTAATTCCAGGAGGATAAAAGAGCCTAGTGGGTTCCTTTCTTTAGTGAGGGAAAGTGTGTTTGGCAGCTGCTCTATGTTCCAAGATAGCTTGTTGTCTGGACAGAAAAATCCTAGCTCATGTAGTTCATGTTCCAGAACTCATAATAGCTGCTGATGGTAATTCTTAGTGCAGTTTCTTTTAAGAAATTGACCTGCTCACACAACTGAACGGTTTTATTTTTAGGGCAAAAGAAGTACAGTATAAGAGACAGATAAGGACCGTCCTATCAGTATTATTTACATGTACTGTACATATCTTGCATCTGGAGTTTTAAAAGTTTTAAGGGATTCCAGGGCAGGACCTTCTGACAATGATTCAGATTAATGCCCAAGGTGAATGTAACTATGTTCTAAACAAGAGTACCATAATATAGCATTAATTACTCTTAAATTATGATGCACTGGCAAAGTACAATTATAGTGAACTGCTTCAAAGAGTTTATAGAGGTAAATAGGGAAAATAATGAACTTAAACAGAGAATGGAATACAGATTACTGTAGTCATATTCAGTCTTATGTGAATACACATTTCAACTATTGTCTTGCTAAGTAGGGGGAAATGCCCTTGCTTATTGGCTTTATCATTATATTGTCCTTGTGTTGTGTATGTTTTGTATTGTCAAGTCAGCAAGTTGATACATAAATTACTACGGCTTATCCATGTGAATCAGTTATTTTAATAAATGTTCTTATAGACAAGTGGGAGCTTGAGGAAAAACAGTGCTACTACCTTTGTAAGGAATAGAATAATCACAGTTATGTGGGAAAATGAAGTTGTCAATTGATAGCTGCCTCACAGTTCAGTTTCAGATCAGATAGTGGCATCTGTGATTTTTCTCTGGTCTTCCTGATATGTCAGGCTTTTTATGAAGCAAGCTTAATTTCTGTTGTGGAGTCATTCATCAGCTAAATGAGATTACATTCCTGTGAGAAGCAATTCAAGGGCCTCAAGAGGAGATGTTTCATTGGACTTCAGGCATTCTTGCTTTAAATGCATTCTGGTTACACATGACATATTGCTGATTATAGATTCATGAGACATTTTACTGTTACTGCTTTAATCTATTTTCATATCCCTGAGTGTTTTAATATGTGAAGCTCGTCTTCAGAGCCTATGCCATTGACCTTAATTTGCAAATACCCTGAGATGACAAGCTGTCATCTGCTCATAGCATTAAAAAAATTATTAAAGTGAAGGATAGGTCCTTAAGATAGAGTTGGGCTCCTGTTACTCTGAGAGTAATGTAGTTTTTGAAGTGGTAGCCATGTTGGTCTGTGCAAGCATATTGGACAAGAAACAAAGGAAAAACAAAAAGACAAAAACATAAGCTTTAAAAGAAAAGAACTGAATATCAAACAGGGGTCTTACAGCATCACCCAGTGTGAAATGCCACATTGACACACACACACACACACAAACCTTCTGACAATGATTCAGATTAATGCCCAAGATGAATGTAACTATATTCTAAACAAGAGTACCATAATATAGCATTAATTACTCTTAAATTATAATGCACTGGCAAAGTACAATTATAGTGAACTGCTTCAAAGAGTTTGTAGAGGTAAATAGGGAAAATAATGAACTTAAACAGAGAATGGAATACAGATTAGTCATATTCAGTCTTACATGAATACACATTTCAACTATTGTCTTGCTACTATATTCTAAACAAGAGTACCATAATATAGCATTAATTACTCTTAAATTATAATGCACTGGCAAAGTACAATTATAGTGAACTGCTTCAAAGAGTTTGTAGAGGTAAATAGGGAAAATAATGAACTTAAACAGAGAATGGAATACAGATTAGTCATATTCAGTCTTACATGAATACACATTTCAACTATTGTCTTGCTAAGTAGGGGGGTTGTAGTTATGTATAAATATTTTCCATGCAGTCTCCCTCTTATGTCTGAGGAAGTAGACTGTGTCCATGAAAGCTCACATTAAAATATAGCAGTTAGTCTTTAAGGTGCCGCTACTTCTTTGTCATCTTTATGTTTTTGTTTTGTTTCTTATATGATATTTGAATAATGTGTTAAGTTGTTGGTGTGAGTATCCACCACCATCTTTTAAGTTATGAAGAAAGAAAGGTGAGGCCTCCATTAAAAAGAAAAAAGGTAAACAATGTTGCCTGTTCTTGTTGGAGCATCTTTCTTGAACTGTTTAGAAACCAGTTTGAAAACAACAACACAGGTTGGCCAAAATCTTGCTGCTTAGAGTAGAACCAGTGAATCAATAAGGACTTGTTGAGTCAAGTGCTGCATACAGTAGGTTCAGTTACCGTATTTTCCGCACCATAAGACGCACTTTTTTCCCACAAAACAGGGGGGTGGAAAGTCTGTGCGTCTTATGGAGCGAAAAATACGGTAATTAAAATGGGCCTACTCTAATTGTAACTTACTATGCTAAAATAAGTCACAGTTAGAGTAGGCCCATTTGAATATGTGGAACTAATGGAGTAGTTGACTCAACAAATTGCCATTGATTCAGTAGGCCTATTGTAGTGTGATTTGCTACCCTAAGCAACAAGATTTTGGCCGTCACATTTGTATTCTGCCTTACTTCCAACAGAGAACTACGGTACATATATAACTGTGAGGTAAATTAAATGAGAGTTAGGAACTGGCCAAGTTCCCCCAGGAAGGTTCATGGCTCTGTGGGAATGAACTTGGATTTCACCAGTCCTACACTGGGACTTGAGCGATTATAGATAAACTCATTTTCTGGATTGTGAGCAGACTTATCGTGGGAATGGCTAAAGTTGGTGCTGCTCTAGTAATGTTGTGTGAATAAATATTTCAGGACCAGAATACCCTTGAATAGGAATCTGTGTCCTACTGTATCCTAAGTTTCAGTTTTCTAAGTTCAAATGTGCATATGGTTGTTTGTATGCCATACAATATACCATCAGAGATGAAGTACCACAGACAAAGTTTTCAAGCTAAATTGAACATCCTACAATTTGGAAATCCTATGTGAGGTATCTAAGAATTTTTGTGAGAAGACCTCTGCGCATAAAAAGCTCCTAGTGGAGGAGAGACGGGGACATTTATTATTATCGTTTGTTAATAACTCCTTCCCTGTGAGCCCACTGTTGCTTCCATGAAGTAAGGTGTTCAGAAGGGACACTAGATCAAAGAATGTAGGCATGCCACTACACATACAAAATAATGTTGCATCAGGAGGCAAAGATATTTGCACATTTCTCTTTTCTCCAAAAATGGCACAGAAGATTGAAGTTGGAGATGGTTTAATATACAGTTGATAGAATTCATATGCCAAAAAGAGTTGTTACATCATTTACATTGCAGTAGGGATACTTGAGGGTACATTTTTCAACAGTTTGGTGCAGTCTTACCTTACATTCATCCCTTGCTGATGAACAAAGCAATAGAATGTAAAGCAGCTAGTATGTATCTATCAAACCAGCTCTTAGTGAAAATTGGAGATAAAGTGTGCTTCAACTGAAATATCTTTTTGTGCGAATAAGTCCAAGAAAAAAAATCCTCTGCAGTATTTTGAGTAAACTTACAAGGTAGGAAAAGAAGATATGTTGGGAACAGTATTATGGGACAAATAGGCTATAATTCATGAGTAGAGGCATTAGAAATTGGGTCATAAAGATTGTATTTTCCCCTCTGCAAACAAAATATTCTTCCTTGTATTTGAATTTTTTCTTTCTTTCTTCTACCACTTCTTCCTTTTAGTCTCCCATGTTTGATGGTAAAGTACCCCACTGGCACCACTTTTCTTGTTTCTGGAAGCGAGCTCGACTGGTGTCCCACTCTGATATAGATGGCTTCTCGGAACTGCGTTGGGAAGATCAAGAGAAAATTAAAAAATCCATAGAAAGTGGTGGTGTTAGCACAGGTAAGGCAAATTGCTAGTGACAGTCAAAAAGGAGAAGCACTGCTGTGTGAGCGTAGATAAATTACTAGGGGCTGGGTTATGTTCACAAGCCTTGTAGTGCTGTAATTAAAACCAGCTTAAAACATTGCTACATGTGGTTAGGAGGCCTTTAGAATACACTTGCTCATACTGTACAACTGTTCTACAAAATAGACCTCATGGTTAAGGCTGTAATTCCATTCACCACACTTCTCCAGTATCGTACCTCCTGGTTTTGCTGTACTGTAATCCCTATATTTCCCTAGTCAGCACAGCCAGGACAGTATGTGGAGGCAGTAAACATTGCTAGGTTAGGAGGCCTTTAGAATACACTTGCTCATACAACTGTTCTACAGAATAGACCTCATGGTTAAGGCTGTAATTCCATTCACCACACTTCTCCAGTATCGTACCTCCTGGTTTTGCTGTACTGTAATCCCTATATTTCCCTAGTCAGCACAGCCAGGACAGTACAGTATGTGGAGGCAGTAGGGCAGGATACACTGCTATTTATAAACAGTTGAGAGTATTAGTGAATTCGGTGGAATTGACTGATGAGTAAACATCCATAGGATTGTACTGTTAAAGTATTCACCCTCTACATTGATCTAGTACATTGTTTCAGCACCACAATATCATTATGACTGCTTGTGCTGGTGTAAAGACATATGGTACAGAAGAATACTTGAGAGAAGGCATGTTGTGTACAACCAAAGGGTTGCGTGCTGTTCACTATCGCCATCCATTTGCCTATAGGCAGGACATATCTAGTCCAGCGTGCTGTTCATTATGGCCATCCATTTGCCTATAGGCAGGACATATGCACAGTACTAGCTTTCTGTTTAGGTTCCCCAGTAACAGCACTTGGATACATTTTTCATCAGTGATGATACATATCCATCATGATCGGTAGCCACTGATGGCCCTGTATGCCATGAATTTGGCTAATTAACTGTGAAAACTCCTGGCCCTTCCATGGAAATTCACCAGTGCATTTTACAAGTGAATTCAAGGGTTTAGCTGTACGACCTGTGAAGGCTTGTTTTTTTCTCCTTAAATTTTCTACCATTCAATGGATCTCTGATGTGAAATTTCAAAAGAATACCTACTGTCTCCACACTGCGTATAATTTTGTCATATCTCCACTTAACTTGCCTTTTTTGGAAACTAAAAAGCCTAGCATATTGTAACATTTCTTCACAAGAGAGTTGCTTCAACCCTTTAAGCATTGTTTGCCCTATAGTGTAAACTTTGAACAAGATGATTCTAACATAATTGTTACGGTGATCTCTTGCAAACTTTTATAACTAGATGTTCTGCGGGGGAGAGATTTATTAGATGCAGCTATGTTCCTCTCCCTTTCTCAGACATGGCCACTAAATAGGGTTCTAAACTAGACTGTTTCATCAGACTGTTGTAAGAAAGCAATTCAATTCAATTTTATTCATGGTTAGCCATTTGAAATGGTGGCAGTGATGCTGATGCTGAAAATAGTAGTGCCTAAGCCGGGAAGGTGTGGTTAAACCTGTTCCACGTACAGTGGTGCCCCGCTTGATGACGATAATCCGTTCCAGGAAAATCGCTGTTAAGCGAAATCGTCGTCAAGTGAAAAAAAAACCCCATTGGAATGCATTGAAAACCAGTTAATGCGTCCCAATGGGGAAGTACCTCATTGTCCAGTGAAGATCGCCCATAGAGAACCGCTGATCAGCTGTTTAAAATCGCTGTCTTCCGAAGCAGGGGTCCGGAAAACAGCCATTTTGCGAAGGGAAGGAAGCCATTTTATGAAGGGAAGCCATTTTGCGGAGCCGGAAAATTGTTTTGTGAACAAATGTTCGCAAAGCAGGCACCTAATCGATGTCAAGTGGAAAAAACCCCATAGGAACCATTGTTAACTCATCATAAAGCGATTTTGTCGTCTAATGGTGTGGCAACCCCAGACCTACTGGAGTATCCCACCCTATAGTTATGCTGCCACCAACCATTCCCTATAAGGAGTCACACAGACCAGGAATGGATTTTTATAAATTAAAGAACAAGGTTTATTGAAACAACAAACAGGGTAAATAAAAGAATCAGGTAAATAGGATACTGTAACGTGGCATAGTCCTAATCACACACATACAACAGCTTGGTTCCCACGGAACACCTTAAGGTAACGCACAGACCCTGAACTAAAATATAGTAGTAACTTACAACTAGAGTGGGCCCACTGAAACCTACAAAGTTACTCACCAAATTGCTGATTGAATGTGTCTGCTCTAGTTGCATTTATTACTGGATTTCAGCCAAAGCTCCAAATATATATACAGTACAGCTCCTCCTCCCTGATGTCCCGCCTTCCACTCCCCATAGGATGGAACTTTCCCTCCAAACCCATGACAGACAGGTACCATCAGTGCTGTATGTGACAAATGGGGTCATTGTCAAGCGGGGCATCACCATACCCTGTATCTTTTTTCTCTTTCCTTGAAGCTTTGTAACTCCATACATTGGAGCAGAACTTGGAAATAATGTCTTCTTTTTTCTAGGCAAAGGTGGTGACCAAGAAGGAGGTGGCAAAAATGAGAAGAGTTTAAATGATTTTGCAGCAGAATATGCAAAGTCGAACAGAAGTACTTGCAAAGGCTGTGAACAGAAGATAGAAAAGGTAGACAGATAATAAAATAGTGTGTTTGTAACATATATTAAATACAGCACTGTTAATGTACAAATATAGTACTCTTAATGTACGTATTCAATAACTCAGTGCCATTACAACTTTCCATCTAGGGGAGCTTCTTATCTTTCATAAAGTTTACAGATTTAATGCAGGAATTTAAGCATGAATTTCCCCTGCGCTCCAGGTTCAGATTCCATCATGCTTTTCACAGAAGCACTCAAATATTGTGTTAAGTGAATGGCTCTTACATCTCATTCATCAGTTGTCATACTAAAGTATGTATTTATAACATGTCAATGAATTCTGACATTTGATTCAAATTTTTGCCTGCTTTAGGAAAAGAGCAATTGTACCTTCTCTTGCTACTCCCAATGTATCTGGAACTGTACCAACAATCGGCAGAACTGTATGGGGAGGGGGCTTATTTAGATAGTAGTGCTTGGTGGTTATTCAAAACTCCAGATACAGAGAAAACCAACCTTTAGCTTTGCCTTTTCTCTCATATACTATGTTGCATGCTTGACATAGTATATATGTGTCTGAGAAAAGCAAGGCAATGTGTCTGCACGCATAGGTGTGGATACGCTTTTATGCATGCGGATAATAGTACAATCTATGGCTATGAACCCTGGTATGTGCTGGAGGTATGAACTTGGATCAAGTATATTCAGTTTTTTCCTTCTAAAATAGTTTCAGGCTGTAACGAGATTTTTTTGTTTGTTTTTTTGTTTTAATTAATATTGTTTTTGGGCTTGCCTGGCTTTCTGTCAGTTACTGATGGAATTTATTGGAATTATGGAGCTTGCTTATTAGGACTAGGTTTGTGAATCTGGATGGTTTTTGGTCCCACATCTTTCTACAGGGTTTTCTGCCTTTCCTCCCCTCAGAATGCTAGCCAGCAGAATGTCTACAGTTTCTTCCCCTGAATGACTGCTTAGAGTAGGCTATGCAGAAATCAATACCGTTCTCCACCTGATTCCTTATTGGAACCTCTTATCAATTTCAACCTCTTACACTGAGTACTACAGCCATTTGAAACTGAAAAGTGTATACAGGACTGAAACCGAGAAGAGCTACATCCCCTATACCAGTGGTTCTTAACCTTTGTTACTCGGATGTTTTTGAACTGCAACTCCCAGAAACCCCAGCCAGCACAGTTGGTGGTGAAGGCTTCTGGGAGTTGCAGTCCAAAACTGTACAGGACTGAAACTGAGTAGAGCTACATCCCTTATACAACTGATGAAACCATGTGAATCTGACCACCATAGAATCCTGAAACTGACAAGGGCAGCAAAAGAAACTGATGCAACCATGTGAATCTGACCACCATACAATCCTGAAACTGACAAGGGCAGCAAAAGAGTTCAAAATCCTGAGGAGGGTGATACTGCAGGGAAGCAGTGCAGGACTGTGGAACTTAATCCTGTACTTAAAATTGATGAAAAGCAGTGCTCAACATTTCTCCCATTTGCTGCTCAGGAAAATATCTCACTCTCCACCCTGGCCTGGCAAAATGTAAAAAATAACTGAGAGCAACAAAATTGCTATTCCTTAATGTGAATTTCTAAGTATCTTTAAACACTAAAATAGCCAGTGTTTTGCTTTTAATTGAAAAAATAATAATTTCCTTTAAGAGAATTCCTGCATTGAGCGGGGGATTGGACTCAGTGGCCTTAGACGCCGCTTCCAACTTCATTATTCATGATTCTATGAAAAATGCCCAATTGGTAGTTTGAAAAACGTTCAGCTTGGGATTCAGGGTTATATATTTGCAGGATATTATGACCCAGTTCCTTTGCTGGGGCAAGTTCTTTCAGAAGAAAATGTGGGATACGATCCCCAATTTGGAACACCATTTCTAAACTACTAGAATAAAAATGTTTTGGGAACCACTGACTTAAGCCATCACAAACTATGTGTGTTTTTTAAAAGAAGAAGAAGATTGAATTGATGCATAAATGCCCTTCCTAATATGATAATTCAGACACATTGCAAGGTGTTATTTATTTTAATCTCCTCTCCAGGGTCAAATTAGAATTTCAAAGAAAATGGTGCATCCTGAAAAGCCCCAGCTGGGGATGATAGACAACTGGTATCACCCAGCATGCTTCATCAGCCGCAGAGCAGCTCTGGGGTTTCTTGCTACCTTCAGTGCTTCTCAGCTCTTAGGCTTTGGGCTCCTGAGCGCAGAAGATAAGGAGACTCTGAAGAAGCAGCTGCCTGCTCTTAAAAATGAGGGGTATGTTGAATATGGCCAAAGAAGGCATATCTCACACTATGTTGCAGTACTAGTTAAGTCTACTAAACTCTTCTAAATCACTGATGCCAGAATGTATTTCTTTAATAGAAAAAGAGGTCTATTGCTTTCTCCTCCCATCTGAAGAAGAGATATTCAGGGAGTTGTCATGGCTCATAGCTGGGATTCTGGCTGTCGGTTCTCTAGACGGTGGCAGTGCTTTCAGGCTGTCTGTGGCAAGTAAAGTTGACTTGAGAGGCAGGTTGCTCAGGCTGCGGAGCTGGCCCCTTGGCTTTGTACACTTCTTGTATTAGCTGATCCTACTGGGTTGGCTGTCTTCAAGTTGGCACTTCAGGGCAGGGGAGAGTTGGCAGGCAATGTAAGAGAATACTTGGGCTCTTCTATGCTTCCTGCCGAGACTTTTGGTACCTAAATGTATCTTATTGGTACAGGAGTAAAAATACAACTTAGTTTGAAGCCAGATTTGTGCAACATGCATTTTTTTTCTCAAACCAGAATGATCTCAGAATTATAAGAATTTGGTTTGTTGGCAGGAATTAATAATACCTTTTTCCATTGGCGGGAGTGTGCTGGGAGCTGCAAAAAGGCCCTGGGGACTACATATGAACTATAGGCTGCAAGTTGCCCACTCTTGATTTAAACTCTGGGCATTGAAGAAATACACACATCTGTGGGAAGAAATTCTTCTGTCAGTTGCTGTAGTTAAAAGAAAGTAAATCAGATTAAAGTTGAGGGATATTATTAGAAGATAAATCAGAGCACAACCACAAGTGTGAAGCTTAGGACCATACTCAATGAGATCACTAATGTGTCAAAACTGTGTGGTTTGCACTCTATGAATGTAGTGTACGAGCTTTGCTTCTGCTCTGGGGCTGCGATGTCAAACAAATTTACTCTGTGCTATCCTCTGCTAGGAAAGCCAAGGCTATATCATGTCTCTGCTGATCAGCTGTTGCTGCTTATGCAGAGAGGTCCAGTTTTCATGCTTTTGCCTTTGTGTCCATCTGTTTGAGGCCTGTGTTTTGATTTGCTCAGGGCAGCCTCCGAATGAAGTTGGATAAACAATTTCATTCAGCATCTCTACCTGATCAGAGATTTGACCAGGGTTAATTTTTTTAAAAAAAGATTTGTTGATATGGAAATGTTCCCTCTTCTAGACCCTTTTTCTTTTTTCAGAAGGAGAGACATTTTCTAATAGTCCTTCTGCATGCCATAAAATATTTGTAAAATTACCCAGTGTTTGTAGGCCAAGTCTCTATGAAACAAAACACAAGAATCACAGTGGAAAATAATGTGGCTAAATGGAAGTGTTCAAACAGCCTGCACTGTCATTTTGTTGCTGGTTTGAAATCTCTCCTGTTATTTACTTTTGCCCAGACAGCCATTCAAAACCTACACAGCGCTATTAGAATAAATCAGCAGTTTATGTAAGATGCAGATCTTTCTCTCCAGGATTAAATGAGGCACTGAGACAAATCACTTGGTCTTAGTTCACCTACTTTTTTCTCTGGTCTACAAATGCAGTTGTGGGGGGAGGTGTGTCCACTCTGTTATTGACCACCTTAGGATGTTGCATCCTAATGAGATGTTTGATGGCCATAGCCCATTTGGCAACTGTTCACAACTGCTGAGGGAATAGTTTTGATTAGAGATGGGAAATTTGTATTCGTTGCCCTGGGGGAGATAAATATAAGACTCGCCAGCAAAGGTGGCTGGCCCCAGAACCAGGCATCCACTTGACACTCACAATGGGATGCACGCAGCCAGTGTCATCAAAAGCACACTAGTATCAAAAGTGCTACCCCGCCTCCCTACTTGGCGAGCTACTGCGGCGAGGGGGTGGGATGATGAGCCTTCCCACTCCGCTGTTGAGTGGCCAGCCAAGCAAGGAGGTGGGGCAGTGCCAGTGTGCTACCCCGCCTCCCTACTTTGCTAGCTACTCCGGCGAAGGGGTGGGATGATGAGCCTTCCCACTCAGCTGTTTAGTGGGCAGCCAAGCAAGGAGGTGGGGCAGTGCCAGCTGGGCTACTGCCACGATTTGGTCTGCTTTTGATAATGCCAGCCACGTGGTGAGTGGTAAGTTTACACCCGATTTTGGGGGGAAGGTCCAGTCGTGCCAGCCACCTGTTCTAGCGAGCTTCATATTTTCTCCCCTAGGAGATCAATACGAAACTCCCATGTCCAGTTTTGATTTTAGCAATAGGCAGTACTGTAGTTAATAGTCTTCATGCCATTGACTACTGGTAGAAGAGTTGTATCTCATCAGAGTAAATTATAAAATTATTCATATCTATATTATTTATTTAAAATATTTTTTACTCAACTTCCTCCTTAAAAAGGGCCCAAGATGGCTTACAGAATTGAAAGCTAAAAAAATTAAGTATATAAATACTAAAAAGGATCAAAACGTGCCACACTAAAATACATCAAACAAAAGCAGTACCCAAAAAACATTCATTTAAAACCCCATTCAGATAGCCAGTCATTAAGAGAAAGCTTCCCTGAAGAGAAAGGTCTTTGCCTGCTTGCACCAGGACAGCAAAGCCCTGCTTCAAATTGTTCAGGGAATTGTATTTGCAATGTTAAAGAGCTCCGTCCATTGTGCTGGCAAGGATATGGGAATAGTTCTGAGATTTGTGTAGATAGGAAACTTTCCTGTTCTTGCCCTTCTTATGTTTTGGATAAATCCCACAGAGCATTGGCTGCTTTGGGCAGGGCTGGAGGCATTGTAAGTCACAACACTTCGAGGGCCAGAAGTTTTCCCCACCCCCACTGTGGTGTAGAAATGAATAGAAAGAAAGGGCAAGAATTAACATGAGGTTGCAAATGAAAAAACCTTGTGCTGACTATCATTTATTATAAACTGAAATCATTCGGTATTTATAAATGCCTTTTTTTCCAGAAAGAGAAAAGGGGATGAGATGGATGCCAATGTGATTTCAAAAAAGAAACCGAAAAAAGAGAAAGAAAAACAGTCCAAACAGGAGAAGCTGCTCAAGGTGTGTTTTGCAAGTGGCCAATCAGTTTATTATACTTCCTTCTGTTAAGAGAAATTTCCAGAGCAATGTATAAGCTTAGACTAATGCTGAATATTGTTTTCTTCTGTGTTGTCCTTGACTGGAATCTAGTTTACCATCCCAGTGTGTTTGCAGCAACTTGTGAGGCCTGTAGTGTGTCCCATCCTTCTAAGGTTAGGGTTGTGAATACACAAGACAGGGCTTTCTCTGTACCAGCACCCAAATTGACTGATGCCTTTTCAAGAGAAATCAGACTGATTTTATTGTTGTTGAACTTCCAGGAATCGGTCAGATATGTATTTTTTTGAAATATGTATCTAATCAAGGTTTTTATATATTTTATTGCTTGTTGTTTAATGGGTCCTTGTGGTCAGAAAAATAATAAATATTGTTAGCAAAAAATGTAAAATGAAATTAAACGAGTTCATAATTGTTTTAGTGGAAAACAGATTGTTTATAAAGAAGTCCCATCCAAAAGCTGCTAGTTTATGTTAGGCCTCCATTGCCTGAAAGCATGTTTCCTGTGGCAGGGGAAAAAGTGTTTTCCCCAAGTGTAAAATCTAAGTAGTGTTCAAACATAAGAGGTTAAAGGATGTTCTGACTCTTCAGTTTAGGATTCTGGGCTCAGAGCTAAGGTTTTGAAAAGCATGATAAAGAAATTATTTCTTTATGGCTTCTATCTATTCCCAGAATTGGGTGCTGGATTATATAATTATATATAATTATTATAATTCTTGGATTAGGCCTTTTCAAAATGTACTCCTGCTGCTGCTGGCAGACTTGTGAAATAGGTAAGGACACTGGGTTGGATGGGTGATGTATATCCGCTGATAAGAACCTAAGAGGAACTCTGCTGAATGAAATCAAAGGTGTCCTTTGTCCACCATCCTGTTTCACACAGTTGCAGGCCAGATATGTGTGGGAAGTCCACAAGAAGGATGTGCGTGCAGCAGGCCCATTCCACTATTGTTCCCTAACGTCTGTTTTTATTCAGAGAGATGGTGTCTATGATCCAATGGTATGGCCTTTGTAGCTAAATAATATCAGTGGCCTCCATGAAGTTGTCAACTTCCCTTTTAATTGGTATCCATCTAATGATTATTAATTCCATAATTCAGAAATCATGGGATATGAACACCCTCCCTCATGGAAGCCTGCACATCTACACATCAGGTGTTGAAAGACAATCCAAGCTCACTGGCTAAAATTGAGAAGTTAGTTCCCATATTTCCACCTTCCACTGGAAGTCACTGCACAGTTTTATCTTATACATATTTGTGTATTAGATTTTGTGCATTAGGCTACATTTGAAGCTTGTCTCATATGGGAATGTTGGAGAGATGGCAAATGTGTGTGGTGGGGATTAGCCATATTCTTTCTCCCCTCTCCATAATGAGATGAATCAGGAGAAAGGAACTGGTAGATCTAGCCCATTCACTTACTTTCATGATAGCTGTATGTAAAAAAAATCCATATCATTATGCCAGAACTATATAACTTGTTACTAAACTTTGACAGAGACCCATATACTGTATGTTTCTTGGTGTGTAACTCATGGACTTGACGTTGTCTCATGTATCTCTATTCTGTCTTATAGATGTGTAAAATAACATCTTGTATATCCAAAAGGCAGAGTTATTAACAAAACCATTTTTAAGCAGCTAACATTGCTCTGACATTTTCTTAAATAGTTCCACTAGGGAAATCTTGGCTGTGTTGTTTTTCATCTACAGGAACAGACAGAATTGATTTGGCACATCAAAGATGAGTTAAAGAAAGCCTGTTCCACCAATGATCTGAAAGAGCTCCTCATAGCCAACAAGCAGGAAGTTCCTTCTGGGGAATCTGCTGTGAGTTGCCGCTCTCTCTCTAATATTCTATGTTTGCATCTTCAAGTATTCATACTGCTTACAAATAAAATACAAATTACAGTGACATGACCAAGTGAAAGCCTACTCTAGTAGCTGTGGCTTACATCTGCAAATAGTGAAATTTATTATTACTCTGTTTCAGTTAAAACCTAGTCAATGGCCATCCTAGCTGGGGGATTCTGGGAGTTGTAATCCAAGACGTGATGTTTTTGACCTTTGCTTATCTGTGGATCATTATAGAACAGAATGAGGTCCAAAGATGCCTAGGACTTGGAGTAGGTTGTTCCTTGCTATTGGGCTACAATTCCCAGAATGCTCTAAGAATTCCACCAACAAAATGTTTAGAGTTGCAACCCACAAGGACAGATTTGCAGACCTTTAGATTTTGCCCGCTAGAGAAGGGCTTGCGAGTCATCCATCTCCAGTGCTGCCATGCTTCCATCATTGGCTCCTTCAGCCTTTGCATTCTGTTGTTAATTAAAAAGAAAGAAAGAAAGCTCCTGCTTCCTGGGAGTTGGTAGTTCTTCAGGAGGCCACCCTCTGTAGAGCCTAAAGGCAACAAGACTATGATTCTCACTGTTTTAGTTAAAACCTAGTCAATGGCCATGCTAGCTGGGGGATTCTGGGAGTCGTAATCCAAGATGTGATGTTTTTGACCTTTGCTTATCTGTGGATCATTATAGAACAGAATGAGGTCCAAAGATGCCTAGGACTTGGAGTAGGTTGTTCCTTGCTATTGGGCTACAATTCCCAGAATGCTCTAAGAATTCCACCAACAAAATGTTTAGAGTTGCAACCCACAAGGACAGATTTGCAGACCTTTAGATTTTGCCCGCTAGAGAAGGGCTTGCGAGTCATCCATCTCCAGTGCTGCCATGCTTCCATCATTGGCTCCTTCAGCCTTTGCATTCTGTTGTTAATTAAAAAGAAAGAAAGAAAGCTCCTGCTTCCTGGGAGTTGGTAGTTCTTCAGGAGGCCACCCTCTGTAGAGCCTAAAGGCAACAAGACTATGATTCTCAGTGTCCTCCACATCCAGAAAAGCCTGGTTGGTCAGCCACACCAACATTTCTGTATATCAAACAGTAATGCCAGGCCCTCCTTTGTCATTAAGCACCCTCAGAAGGAGGAGAAACCAGTGGTGGGAGCGCAACAATATATATTTTTCTGGGCTGCAACTCCTAGAATTCTGCCTGAGGAATTCTTGCTATTGGGCTACAATTCCCAGAATGCTCTAAGAATTCCACCAACAAAATGTTTAGAGTTGCAACCCACAAGGACAGATTTGCAGACCTTTAGATTTTGCCCGCTAGAGAAGGGCTTGCGAGTCATCCATCTCCAGTGCTGCCATGCTTCCATCATTGGCTCCTTCAGCCTTTGCATTCTGTTGTTAATTAGAAAGAAAGAAAGCTCCTGCTTCCGGAGAGTTGGTAGTTCTTCAGGAGGCCACCCTCTGTAGAGCCTAAAGGCAACAAGACTATGATTCTCAGTGTCCTCCACATCCAGAAAAGCCTGGTTGGTCAGCCACACCAACATTTCTGTATATCAAACAGTAATGCCAGGCCCTCCTTTGTCATTAAGCACCCTCAGAAGGAGGAGAAACCAGTGGTGGGAGCGCAACAATATATATTTTTCTGGGCTGCAACTCCTAGAATTCTGCCTGAGGAATTCTTGCAGAATTCTTGGAGTTATAGTCCAAACACACGGAAGAGCTCACCTGTACTTGGGATATCTGTGGCTTCAGTGAATATCTTGCATGCTGTGGTGCCATTAAGACACCTTGTTTTGTTTGACTCCTGTTGGCCTTCCATTGCTATAGATCGTGGACCGTGTTGCAGATGGGATGGCCTTTGGGGCCCTTCTGCCTTGTGAGGAGTGCAAAGGGCAGTTTGTATTCAAGGGTGATGCTTACTACTGCACTGGGGACATCACGGCTTGGACCAAGTGTGTTGCCAAGACACAAACTCCCAACAGAAAAGAGTGGGTAATCCCTAAGGTAAGTAGCACAACATGTGTTACCACCTTTTTATTATTCAAAATGGATAAAGTGCTTGCAAAAGTTCATGGGTAGCTGGAGCAGGGAAATCACATTTTTAGAAAAGACAGCCCCTTTTAATGTTTGCTACTGCCCTCTCCCTTTTCAGCACCCTTTCTCCACAAGATGGCCTTGTCCAATATACTCAACAACTCAACCCCACCAACATACACATCCCTGCCAGTACTGCTCAGAAATGTGATCTGCTCTCCTCCCCTCACCATCTAATAAAAATACATTAGAATCTGAAGAAAATGGACTGGTATTTAACCATTTTCAGGATAAGCAGGTCCATGTTTTTGTCTTTTGATTCAGGTTACCTATAGGGGTTACCTCCCACACCTGGGAGGAGGCAACCCCTGTTCTTGTCTGTTCTTAGGCTCTGGTAAGGAGGACCTCATAGGAAGGTGTGGTATGTCAAAGGAAAGGCCCTTCTTGGTTTTTGCACTCAGATTATGAAATACATTATTCAGTGATATTTGTTTAGCCCTCTGCCAAATATATAAAGATGTTCCTTGTATGATAAATCCAATTTAGAGCTTTCATTAGTTGTATGCTTTAAAAATTATTTTTTATTTTGTACTAGTGTTAAACAAGCCCTGTAAATCACTGTGAGGAATGTGAATGGCTTTTTCTTCAGACAAGCTTTTGTCTAGTGGCTATCTAGACTATCTAGGAGACAATATATTGGATGGTTTATATTTTGTTGCTCCTAAATCTGTTTTTGTAACACTTTTACCTAACATTTTTCATATAATGTTATCAGTTCTTCTTTAGTATTTGAATAATTTACTATTATTTAATAAATTAATATTGTGTTTTTAACAGGGTTGGTTTGATAGTTAAAAATGATTTTTTAAAATTTAAATTGTGATTTAAATCAATTTGATTTTAAAAAGTCATCGATTTTTATCCATGCTGGCTTTTAATCATGTAACCTGCCTTTGTTCCTTTTTTAGGAGAAAGAGGCAAAACTGGTTTAAATTAATAAATAGAAAGGTGCTGTTTACATATATTTCAAGGAAATAGATGCCATAAAATACCTATATATAAAGGAAACTTTTCTTATGACTAAATGAAATGCCTATTTTCCAGAAAAATGCTTTTTGTCCCATATATCTAGAGCTAAACCATTTTCTCAACCTACATGGTGTGCTGTGCCTTGGTGCATCTTAAATAAGTTGTAAAACTGTTGAAAGTATTTCTTGACGGCAAGGAGTTAGGTAAACCTTAGAAAAGTTCCTTTATGACTAGATAGGCGGGGTATAAATACAATGTTGTAAACTGTTGAAAGTATTTCTTTAAGGCAAGGAGTTAGGTAAATCTTAGAAAAGTTTCTTTATGAACTGTGAGTTCCAAACCAACATGGTACAAATTCAAGAACGGGTGATGCGTTTATTGGACCTCTAAAGAAACAAACAAACAAAAACAGCGAGCTTTCTGTGATAATTCATCTTCAGGCTGTGCACCAAGATCTTGTGGATGGTTCCAAAGTTTTATGCTTTTATCAAAGTCCGAAAGTCCATTGGTAAGGCCAGGTTTATTATAGACCCAAAGTGTCATTTCCTAAACCAGCATGGGAAATTCTGAGACTTGCAGTCCAGAAAAGGAACTTTTTGAGACCTTCTTGTTAGAATCCTGCCCATGATAGGTGAGGATAGTGCTTTCTCTTTTTGCACCAAACATTTCACCCTCATCCAACCCTGGTATTCAGGATGTAGACAGGTATAATCCATTTTCATCTCTTCTGGAGACTAGGTAGCTGCAGTCCTCCGAATGAAGGATCTTACTGTAAAAGAGATTAATTCTGGACTGACTTCAGCTTTATGGGATCTGTCTGTCTATCTCTATTTCAGCAAGACCTAAAGATCCATCAAACAGACTTAAGTGCAGTCTATCTCTATTTCAGTAAGATCTAAAGATCCATCAAACAGACTTAAGTGCAAAATGTAATGGCTGCACCCCCTCTTTCCTCTGTGAGGTTGTATGTACAAATACAACTCAACATCTGATATACCAATCAGGAATTCCAGTGTAAAACCAAAAGAGGTCAGCAAAGATAGTCAAAGGAACCAACCAGAATTTGGAAATGGTCCTTTGGGATTACAGTTCCCAGAATTCCCAGTTTCCCATTGGCTGTGCATTCTGGATGGCTGTGGAAATTGTAGTCGAGAAAAGTAGCTTTTCAAACCTCTGCAATGAAAGTGAGAAACAAACATGGAGAAATAATTAGTACCGTCAGCTGTGGCAGCCAGCTCATTTTATTTTCACTTTAGCTTGCTGTTGCTAAACTATCAGAAGTCAGAATCCTTTTATGTTGGACTTCAAATAATTCAGATTTAGTATTAGGTCTTTACTTAATTCCTCCTGGTTCCTGCTGTATATATAACTCAGTTTTCTTAGTAATAAATGTATTATTTATTCTTCTTTGACTCTCTTTGTCTGTGTCTTATTTTTCAATTACAGTATTCTATGGGCTTTCTTAACTCTTTGCTAATATTTCTTTCGTACATTCTTTCACAATTTAGGCATTCCGAGAAATTACATATTTGAAGAAATTCAAGTTTAAGAGGCAGGATAGAGCATTCCCTCCAGAAGTGGCTTCGACAAACTCAGCACTTCCTCCAAAAGTATCTGCTCCTATTACAGAGAATTCAGCTGCTCCACCAGGTAAATGAGGCCCACGGGCCAGTGCTTGTACTAAAGAGGTAATGCTCTAATGAAAGAAAAACATACCATATGAATTTTCCCCTTGCAATTGCAGTCTTTCTCTACTTGAAAAAAGTTATTTTTCAGAAGATCAACTTCAGATTATAAATTCTTCTCCTCTTTCCTCCCAAAATAAAACTCCAAGTGACTTACTCTGCAGCAAATCTGAAATACAGTATATATCTTCCTGGTATAAACTAGTTGTGTTTTGCAACATCATGCTGTACTAAAGTAAGTCACAGTTAGAGTAGACCATTTAAATCAATGGAACTTACGGAGGAGGTGACATTTCAACTTTTCATTGATTCAGTGGGTTTACTGTTATAAATATTAATTAAACTTTCTTAGCCACAATGTGATCATTTTCAAATGGCCCTTCCTTGTCTTTTCATGTTATGGGGTGAGTACCCATGATTCCTATTGCCCTGAACCAAGTTGAGTTATTAACCCCTTATTGGAGTCTTTCAGGGAGAGGTGAAAATCCTTTTCTGCTATACAAGGAGAGCTGTGCTAAAAATATTGTACATATATTCCTGATAATTCAGTGAATAGCGATCACCATTTGGATGCAGGAGTGTTTCTCCCCTTGATGGGAGAGAGACACATCACTTTGGGCAGTAGCCTTGTGTGCTCCCCTATTCTGCAGAATAAAAGTCCTACATAGTCTTTGACACTTGACTCTCCGGTTTCGGGTGTAATTGGGCAGATCCCCAGGACTACACAACCAGATGTTTACAACACTGCTTTAGAGCTATTGTGACTGGGGTCATTTGAATGTGGTGGCACTTCCTCCTTTTGGGCAGGAAAAAACCAAGAGGCATTGTTGGAATGGTCAACAAATTTATGTAACTTAACATTAGGAGATTCAACTATCACTTCAATAGCATCAAAACAATTCAAACTCGGCAACTGTCCATACTAAGGTGGTAATAATTCAACTGGAGAACTTACAGAGTCTATTGTGGAACCAGTCCTAATCGCTCTCTGTCCGTGGGCTTCCTCAACGGAGCGCTCCTCACGGCACAGATCGTGTCGCAGAGGGGTGCCAAGCCCAATCCCCCTCGCACGGTGGAGGATTGAATGTTGTATCGGGCCAGATCACCCTCCTCCAAGGACCTTGCCCTCTCGGGAAAACCACTACTGTCCATTCTTGTGTTTCAGTAATTGTCACCTTTTTCTCCTTAGGGTCTGGGTCAGGCAATAGTCCTCCCACCTTTAATTTGGTAAAATCCTCCAACAGTTCACGCGCTCTTTTGCATTTGACCTCTCCTTCTTTCTTCATTTCTTCCCGTGGCACTCTGAACACTCTTACTTTATTTTCCTCTCTTTTATCTTCCTCCCACATGGGTAAGGTTAACTCCTCCCCTTCCTTTCCCTTTCCTCCTTCCGCTAAACAAACTTCCACCTTTACTTCTTTCTCCTCTCTTTTATAATCAACACCTCTTTTTCCCTACTCATTCCCTCCTTTAGCCATTCTTTTATTTGAGTAGACTCTGCACTCTCATCTCTCTCTACTCTCTATTTCTCCTTCACAGCTATTTACTATGCTGAGCAGCAGGATTTGAGCTAATAAATTCATCTCCTTTCTACAGTAGTTTCTTATTCTCTGTTCTAGGAGCAAGATTATACAATTATACTATCAATTTGCTTTTATTGTTTTGATTTGTATTTTCATTTTACAGTGGCCCAAGTCTTAATGTGAAGTACAATGTGATCCCTGTATCCACGGGGGATTGGTTCCAAGCCCCGGACTCCCCACACCCCTATACCTGCCATTTTTATCTCAATGGGGTCTCTGTGAATAAGAAGGGCTGAGTTGAAATCTCTCCTCCTTCATCAAGGTGCTCAAAATAACCATCTTTGTTTCTCTCACTCTCTTTCATATATGTATGTATGTACGTACGTACGCACGCACGCACGCACGCACACACACACACACACACACACACACACACACACACACACTCTCAATGGCTCTGCAGATTTCTCTTCTTTGAAAACAATTAAGGATCCTTTTCCTTGTTTGTCCAGGAGTCTTGAGGAAAGGGCTAGTCTGGAGGCAGGAGGTGGAAAATCTCTCCCAGGAGGGCAGTTTGGCTTGAGGTTTATACTCCTCACTCCAAATGTTTGACCCAAGTATGTCCAAGGGCATGACAGACAGCTGGAATAGTAGTGCACACCAGTTGTGTAATATATTTGCATCACTCAGCCCCATTTAAATTGTATCCAGTAGTATTTAAAATTATATTAACTGCTCTAAGTAATATTCAAACAATACATATGAAAACTATGCAAACTACATAATTCTTTGTTTATAGAGTGGATTGCAGGAGAGGGGTGTTTTAGCACTGATTTTATACGTAGTTGTGAGTCTTCTGTTTTTCTCTTTCTTTTATGTATGATCTGTTTAGTATATGTATTTGCATTTGTCCCAACAGATAAACCATTAAATAATATGAAAATTCTGATCCTTGGGAAATTGTCAAAAACCAAAGATGAAATCAAGTCTGCCATTGAAGAACTTGGGGGGAAGATGACAACTACTGTGAATAAAGCTGACCTGTGCATCAGCTCACAAAGTGAGTAAATTGTTTCTGGTGTTATAAGGAAACAGAAAAACCCTGAATGGCAAAAAATGTAAGTTTGATTAGCTTTGGAAGAGGAGAATTGTTTGTTTATTTATATGTATTAATATAACAATTCCTATAATATAATAGCTGAAATCTTGTTGGTGTTATTAAGCCTGCAGAAAGTTGATGCCATCACAGGCAGAGAGCAGTTTTCAATAAGCATAAACCTCCTACTTCTTTTCTGTGGTTTTTCCAACTCCTGTGTAATCACTTTGCGAGCTGTGGGATAGGATAGAATGAGGATGTTTACCAAAAATTGTCACTTTTGGATGACTGCCTGTGGGGAAGATATTCGGTAATTAAAAGACTTCCTCATTTTGTCCTGCAGCTCCCGTGGCTTCCACAAAATGAAATATATTACATAGGAGTTGGGAAGAGCTACAGAAGTAAAAAAGTTTTAATTACAAAAAATCATCCTTTGCTGGTAACATGATCATCCTTCTTCAGGCGTAAGTTATGCAACAGGATTTCTGCCAGTATTACGTAATTAAAATGTTACAATAAATAAAGCTGATGACTAATATGGCAGGAAGGTGAGGAAAATATAAAAATCCTTTCACTAGTCTTGAATCAGATTAAGTATAAAATGGATATGTGTGTTATATGTCAATCCATTGTATTAATTTCTGTATTGAATATTTCCTCACTGTTCTACTGAACTTTTCTTACAGTTCTCTTCTGTTGGCTGTTTTATGTTTCACTTACATGAGTGTGACTGACATAGATCCCATTTTCCTTGCTCGGTTCTATACAAAGTTCTTGCAGCTTGGATTTTCCCCTTTTAGAAACTGCACGCTAATACCTGTAGTAGAAGTGGAATATTGTACCTCCTTGATTATATTTTCAGATGCTGGTAGCATTGTTCACAACACCAGCCAGCCAAAGCTGTCATTCAGGATACTCTATTCCACATTCTTCCCAGATCTTCTGTCTCCTTCCTCCCCTCAATAGGCTCTGTATTTACTGGGCATAGTGTGTCCTCACTGGATTGTTTTGGAGCCCCCTCTCCTTATTGGGAAATGCACAAAGCTGAAATCCTGTTGGTGTAACTAAACCTGCAAAAAAGGTGACAGTATCATAGTTGGGTGAAATTTAATCAGTTCAGGGCAGCTTCCCGCTTTCCTTTGACTTGGCATTGTAAAACAAAAATTGTGTCCATGAACCCAAGGCTTCTTGGGTTTCAGACTGCAGCTCTTAGAACCCCCAATCCACCATGGCTACAGGATGTGCTGACTGACAGGTTCAGGGAGTTGTAGTCCAAAACAGCAAAGCTTCCAAGCTCCAGATCTTCTCTGTGTGTTTTAAAAGAAATCAGTGCAGAGACTAAATAAGATGACCTTTCTTTCTTTTTCTGTATTTCTCCCCCTCCCCCACTCTATCTGTTTCGTAATATTCCAGAGGAAGTTGAGAAAATGAACAAGAAAATGGAAGAAGTGAAGGAGGCCCAGGTGCGGGTAATCTCGGACACCTTTCTGCAGGATGTGAAGTCCTCCAGCAAGGGTTTCCAGGAACTTCTGTCCCTTCACGCTCTCTCTCCCTGGGGTGCAGAAGTCAAGCAGGAGCACAAAGAGGTGTTTGTGGAAGAAAAACCCAGTGGGCATTCAAACATGAAGAGCACTGGGAAGAATAAGGATGAACAAGGTGAAGGAGAATTTAAAAAGTACTGACAACCTCTTTATAGCAGGCCTTTGTTACTACTTTCACTATTGAATGGGGGGCACATGTGTTTCAAGAAGGCTATTCCAGAGGTATGGAAGGGAGGTAGACCTTGCCTTACCAAGAAGGTGATAGGTTGGGGGGGGGATTTTAAAAATGTTTTTATTAAAAATGACTAGTTCCTAGGGTTGTGACAGTGGCTTTTTCCCATTATTTTTCACTCAAAGGTATGATAGCCGCATTTCTTCTTCCAGATACTGGAGGTTTAATTCTACACATAGGGTTGGGGCAGGCAGTATATTTTTACAGATTTAAAATATGTGGCATCTACCTATCTTTCCAGTCGATATGGTAAGCAAAATTCCTTCCTTTCTCATCTGGTTGATGCCTCCTTTTCCCAAACAAGAACAATAGGAAAAGGATGCACCATAATCTTAAGCATGTTTATTATGAAGTAACTACCACTGAAATCAGAGGAACTTAATCGTGTCTAAATATGCACACCAAGCTGAATTAAGATTGCTGGAAGAAATATCAACAACCTCAGATATGCAGATGATACCACTCTGATGGCAGTGAGGAGGAATTAAAGAATCTCTTAATGAGGGTGAACGAGGAGAGTGCAAAAATGGTCTGAAGCTCAACTTCAAAAGAACTTAAGATCATGGCCACTGATCCCATCACCTCCTGGCAAATAGAAAGGGAAGATACGGAGACAGTGACAGATTTTATTTTCTTGGGCTCGCTGATAACTGCAGATGGTGACAGCAGTCACAAAATTAAAAGACACCTGCTTCTTGGGAGGAAAGTGATGACAAACCTAGACAGCATCTTAAAAAACAGAGACATCGCCTTGCCAACAAAGGCCCTTATAGTCAAAGCTATGGTTTTTCCAGTAGTGATGTATGGAAGTAAGAGCTAGACCATAAAGAAGGCTGACCGCTGAAGAATTGATGCTTTTGAATTGTGATGCTGGAGGAGACTCTTGAGAGTCACGTGTACTGCAAGGAGTACAAAGAAAATCAACCCGGAGTGCTCACTGGAAGGACAGATCCTGAAGCAGAGGCTCCAATACTTTGGCCATCTCATGAGAAGAGAAGACTCCCTGGAAAAACCCCTGATGTGAGGGAAGTGTGAAGGCAAGAGGAGAAGGGGACGACAGAGGATGCGATGGTTGGACAGTGTCGTCGAAGCTACCAGCATGAATTTGACCCAACTCCGGGAGGGAGTGGACGACAGGAGGGCCTGGCGTCCTTTGGTCCATGGGGTCACAAAGAGTCAGACACGACTTAACAACTAAACAACAACAAATATGCACAGGAGGTTTGGTAGTCCATCTTGAAAACTGCATTTTAAAAATAAACTAGCCTCTAATTTAAAATATTTGTCAAGAAAAGAACAAATAAATGTATTGCAATATTAACTTTATTGAATTAGAGACCATTTCATCTGGTGCTTGAGTTCTTGATACGTAACTTGATTCAATCTGATAAAACTAATGTGTTCTATAAATGTATATACTAATATTGCAATATCATATGCTTTTATAGATAGCTCCTGCAGGTAGAAAGGTCAAACCAGACAGAACTAAAGTCCACCTTTCAAACTATAGTTGATATTTCTTCAGCTTTTTGGCCATAAGACAAAGTTCCCTTGTAAACTAATAATTTAAAAAAAGTAATATTGTTTTTCTTTTTCTTTTACACCATATTTAAAAATGTGGGCACAATTTGATTTCAGTTTGACAACAAATGTCAGTTAACCACAATCTTTTTCCAAATTGGTGGCCTCCAGGTTGGAAAGTCCTATAATCTCCACATAGTTTTCTGTGGAATTATAGAGTTGCAATCCAGTATGTCTGAAGGGTTCCAGCTTCATTAAAGCTGACAGATGTTTTAGACTCGCGGTTCCCAGCCTTGATCCCCAAGTGTTCTTGGCCGGCACAACTAGTTGTGAAGGCTTCTGGCAGTTTTAGCCCAAGAATTCCTGGCGACCCAAGGTTGGAAGCCATTGTGTTAGACTATAACTGTTTTAAGGCTTCACATCCTACCAAAAATGTTTATTACCTTCTTTCTTTCTTTCTTTCTCCATTGTCCAGGCACAAGCAAGTCTGAAAAGAAAATGAAGCTGACAGTCAAAGGAGGTGCTGCTGTAGACCCCGATTCAGGTGATTTAAAAAATCTCTTATCTGTGTCTTCTTTCTAGCATGCTACATATAATTGTCTTCTGCGGGAACAGGGATGGGGTTTTACCGTCTGCTAAAGTTTTTGCGATGTATGAAGTGTGTAAACCTATGTTTGTGCATTATGACATGGGTCATAATGGGTTAACTAAAATCTAATTTATACCTGTCTTATCTAGGCTTGGAAGATACTGCTCATGTCTTTGAAAAAGGTGGCAAAATCTTCAGTGCCACTCTTGGCCTCGTAGATATTGTCAGAGGAACAAATTCATATTACAAGCTTCAGCTGCTAGAAGATGACAGAGAACTCAGGTATGTTTTTCTTCCTTCCTAAATAGGAATTGGCTTGCAAATTTCCTTTCTAGCCTGACTTAAATAAAAGGTTTTGTGCCTGTTTTATATAATCTTTTTTTAAATACTGCATTTTTATGAGACTAATGCAGAAACACTGAACTCAAAAAATCCATGTTATTTTATGAGACTAATGCAGAAGCACTGAACTCAAAAAATCCATGTTATTTTCCATAACTCTGGAAGGTTATGTGAATTCGGAGCCAGAAGCATATCCACATAGAATGGCTCTGTTTAGTCAATTGTAGCAAAAACAACATTCAGGCTGGAGGCAAGGGTAGACTATACTGCTATTGAATCGTTTAAAAAGCCACAAACACGGGCTAGCTGTTGGCATGTAAGGTCTTCTTGAGGCAGGGCACCACTTATTTATGGATGGTGCAGGAAAAAATACAGGAGTTCCAAAAAATCATGGTCAGATAGCTGTACTAGGGTTCAAAATGAGTGCTGCAAAGCCAAGCCAGGAGTGTTGGTTTTAAATTCCACGGCTGCAAAGCCAAGCCAGGAGTGCTGGTTTTAAATTCCACCCTAGCAATGTTGATTGCATTGTCCAAGCAGAAGGTGGCAACCTCTGAGCAGTCACCCTCGTTCTCCTTTGTTGCCTACATTGAAACAAAAGGTTCATTTCTTGGCTCGGAATCAGGGTGCCACAGATATGTGACAAACATTGGGGAAACACCTACTAGTTGAGCCAATTACTACCAAATCAATAGTATTACTTAGTGGTTGGAGGAAAATGTTGTCCTCAGTTCACAGTCCTGCTTGGGTGGTGTTAAATGATCATATTTTGATGGTGACCTGGGCTGTTGTTCAAGGCCTCTTCCATAGTCCAGCAGAGAGAAGGGGAGTCCACAGGGAGAGGTAAAAAATGGAGAGGTTTAAAAAAGAAAAAAACAGCCACAAGAGAACTTTGCAGCAGGGGAAAACAATCACTCCTGCAATCACAATTATGTTTCATGGTTATGGATTGCAGACAATATCGCCTCTTTACTGGTGGAATGGACCCCACTGAACACCACCCCAAAAGACTTAGATATGGAGGCAAGATGCCAGTGGAGGGCATGAAGGGGAATTCAGTATTTCATATAACAGCCTACATTTCATGGCCTTTCAGACTGACTGTTTACTTTTTTGCCCTCTCCACAAAGGCATGGGTGTGTCAAATGCCAAATGAAGATAACACTTCATGCACCTCAAGAAGTAGGATGTAATATTTGAAAACTCATGCCACAAAAGAATTACAATGGGCTGTGTCAAGCAGTTAATTAATATTTGTCATTTAACTGATTTGAGTAACAGCACAATTCTTCCCAGGCTGAGGCTGCCATTTTTACATTCGTATTTGAGAATAGGTTTTCTAAACTCGGTGAGTGGGACTTACTTCTGAGTTGACAGACAAAGAGTTTGGCCTTTAAATATTGCCTGAACCTCAATACAACCATTTTCATCGCAATACAGAATAAAATGTGACTAATGTTTTAATGTAATTAAACTATAGAGTGTTTATTAGGGAAAAACAATACATTACTATATATTTATATATAAGTTATAGTAACTATAAATTATCCATATTGTTGGGAATAAATGGTTTCAAACGGTTTTGTTTCAAAGGCAGAAGCAGGAAAGCTGTTTTGTTAACGTTCTTTGGCTTTCCCTGCATATACAGTACTAGGAATTAGATCACTGGCACCAATTTGCTTGAGTTTTGATGACAGGATATGGGCTCGGACCAGTGTATGAAATTATGCTTGTTGCTTTAGAAAAGCAACTTTTAAAACATTACACCTTCTAGAGTCCCTCAGTGAGCATGTCTGTGTGATTTTTTCAGGGTGGCTATGTTTTTTTTAACATAACACTTTAAACCTCTGTGCCTTAATTATGCTGGGCTGTACGGGGATGTCTATATTTGTTTCCCTACACACATTTCAGTTTCCTAAGTAAGTTGTGGCCAGAGTGGACTGGGGGGGAGGTGTAGTCGCTTGGACGTAATCTGTGACAGTGCTGGTAAAATGGACCTTCAAGACCAAAAATAAACTTGCTCTTTCTTATTCCCTCTTGCTCCTGTAGTTTTAATATGCTGTGATTAACTTTTTTCAGTTGTTGAACGGAAGTGCAGGTATTCACAGAATAAAATAATTACAGTGTTGCCCCGCATGACAACGATAATCTGTTCCGTTAAAATCGCTGTAAAGTGAAATCGTCATGCGAAAATAAAAAAAAAACCATTGGAATGCATTGAACACTGGTTAATGCGTTCTAATGGGGGAAATACCTGCTCGTTTTGCAAAGATCCTCCATAGGGGAAGCCATTTTCGATCGCTGTCTTCCGGAAATAGGTCCGGAAAACAGCGGGAAGCCATTTTGAGAACCACCAATCAGCTGTTTCTAATCATCGTCCAGCAAAAAAACGGTTCCCGAAGCAGGAACCAAAACGACATAAAGTGAAAAAAACCCATACTGTAGAAACATTGTTTTGCGATCGCTATAGCAACCGCAAAAACCTCATCGTTAAGCGATTTCATCGTTAAGCGGGGTCATCGTCAAGCGGGCACCACTGTACTAGATCCCAGATAGTCTACTCCTTTTCTCATTAACTGGCACTTACAGTCTCTGTGACACACTCTGAGACATTAATAAGATAAAGAATACAAATGTTCCATTTTACTTAGAATTGTGAATATATCAACAACTAATAATGTACTTGACTACTTTTAACAACTCTTCTTCAGTATACTTTAACAGACATTTTCCTACCAACCATCAACAGACATTAATAGACTTTCTGGGGGAAAAGAACTCTCATGGAGCTCTTTTAAATTCTGTTCCATGAGAGAAATATTGGTTAATGCTGTACAGACTGACAGTCCCTCCCAGGCATTCAAGTTAGAAAGCAACATGTGAGGTTGTGAAATCCAGCATCTCCCACACGCTTTCTCCTTCTTTTGCTACCCCATTCTCTCCCTCCCACAAGGAGGCTACTGGTGGAAGGACAGATCATTCTGGCAAAGATCTGATCATTTGTGCAGGGCTTTGAGAATTAGGTCAAAGGCCACATGAGATCAGGTTACTATTTGCTGCTGCCTCTGTTTCAGGCCAACCCAGCTTAACAGCAGGTTGCTGGAAGGTGCCTTACTGAAAAGCTGCCATTCTGTCTCACCATTTTATCTCGGTGGCAATAACAGATTGCTTGCCTGCTTCTTCAGATGTTCTCTGGATGACTTGGACATGATCACGTATTCCAGTCAGTTCACATGTATCTCCATTTTTTTATCAGGAAAGTATCTGAATGTCTACCCTGCTGACTCTGGGTTAGTGGAGGATGCTGTCTCACTGGTAGTGTTGACTTAAGATTCAACTATCAGTGCTGTGAGCATTCATTCACGGAATGGAGCATGTCCCTTCTTGTCCTTCACCCCAGGCAGCAAAATGTCTTGGCCTCATTGCTCTGCAAATTCTATTAACTCTTCTGTAAGCCCCCTGGAATCCTACTCAAGCAGGATCTGTGAGCTTTTCTTTCTTGGAGCTGCTTTTAGTTCCTAAATCCACAAATGCTGTTGTAGTTCTCTACAGCTATACATTCTGAGGCTGTTCTCTCTTTTTCATGATCTTCCTTGTTTCCAGCTATCATTTAACTTCCTTGGAAACTAGGAGGTAATCAGTCTGAGGGAAGACTCCCTGAATCAGTTTAGGTTAAAAAAAGGTGTAAACAGTTATGAACAAATTTAAATAAAATGATATGATGTCAAAATCACTGCAGATAAGAAAGTGGCTGGGAAGAGCTGGTTTTTGGCAGCTTTCGAAAGAGGATTGAGGAGTTCTTGGGTGGTCATAAAAATTTATTGCCAGATCACATAATGATATAGCTACTTGGCCCATATGGGAGCTAGTACGTTTTTTATATGCCCCCCTCACCAAACTGCTGGTTTGATTTAAGTTTGATTTAACCTAACTACCTATTTTCTTCTTGTTTCCTTTGGTTTTAGATACTGGGTTTTCCGCTCTTGGGGTCGTGTTGGAACAATTATTGGAAGCAACAAATTAGAGCAGATGTCCTCTAAAGAGGAAGCTACTGAACACTTCCTGAATTTGTACGAAGAGAAGACAGGCAATTCCTGGCATTCAAAAAATTTCACTAAATATCCCAAAAAATTCTACCCTCTGGAAATAGACTATGGACAGGTAACTTTATGACCCTCCAAAAAGAAAAAATATATTTCTTTGCCAAAAACAAGGGAGAAATTCTAGGCAATGCAGTCATTAGTGCCAAAAGATGGAATTTGCTGTGCAACAGCATGTGGAGAGCCACATGTTCTCTGTTCCCCATCCTGAGTCAAGCTCATGCCTTCAGAAAACCCTTTGGGTCATTTAAAATGAACCTAAAAATCAAGATAAGGCCCCACTTCCCAAACATGACTTAAGCCTGGTTATATCCAGACATATCCAGGCTTAAGTCATACTGTGGTACATTGAAATCCATGGAGGTTCAGTTAGTCAACTTTCACTTGGTTTGCTCTTAAGTCTGCATTCTACACAAAGGAACAGTCCTATGTGAGCTTTTACTCAGATGTAAGTAAACCTCAGTGGGGCTTACTCGTTTTTATTTATTATTATTACGTTTAGGATGAAAGAATTGCAGAGGAGGAGGATTAAAACACATAGGAATACACAAACAGGCAATTGTCCCCTCTTCCCAAAAGGATGTTATCTTTTCTCTTTGACTCTAATGTCCTTATTGGTAAAGGAAGAATTTCATAGAAATCAGATGCATTGTTCCTCAAATGACCTAGAATGTTTCTGCTGAAAATCAATTAACAGTAAATCTTAATAAGACTAGCCTGCAAAAGATGAGCCTAGTTATCAGAGCAATGTTACATTGTGAGTACAGTTGTTCTAATTAGGCCATGGGTAGGAAACCTTTAGCCCTCCCTGTGTTTGGGACTTCAGCTCTCAGAAGCCTACCAAACATAGTCAGTGGCATGGGATCCAGAACAAAACATCTGGAAGGCCAAAAGTTCTCCAGCTCATCTTACTACTAGCCAAGCAGGAGATGGTAAGTGTAAATGCAGTAGTGCTAGTTTTAAACATATGCAGGCCAACATCACATTAGAGTGGTTCTCCTTTGTGGCCTTTGTGAATAAACACTAATGGGTTAATCTGCACTCGAGCAGAGCAGTTTCAGAAGCTTTCACAACTTTAAGCACTTAGTGGCGGGACCTCCCCTACACTGGCTATATAACTCCGCCCCCGGCACCCAGTGCCTCAGTTCTTTTTTTGACCGCCGTTGTAGCAGCAGCTTCCTTCGGAACATCACAAGTAAAAAAAAACAATTCTATTCCTTTCCTCTCCTTGACCTCCCCTTGTTCTTTCTTCATTAATAAATTGTTTCTTCTGCTTGGGGGAAGAGCACTAGCCAGCTCTAGGTATTCTTTGTAAAAGCTTTACAAAGCTGGCTTTGGAGCCCTCAGGGCTTTTCTCTTAAAGAAATAAGGTCTCTTTTACCTTCTTAGCAAGGATACCCCCAGGCTCAAGAGCAACAGCTACTCACCTGTTTGCAATCTTCCTCTTCATGTCAAAAATGAAGAGGACAGCATCTGAGCTAACTCTGCAGAAAGCTGGGCGCCAGCAGCCCTAGCTTGCCCTTGGAAGAAGAAAGGGCCCCCTGCAGTTCTGGTCGCCATCAGCGCTTGTCAGTGATTCTCATTGAGCCCCTCTACCTGTTGGCTTGGAGTCTTCCCTGACAGTAACAGACGTGCTCAGTCATGCTCACAAACCTTCTACCACCTTGACCTACTCCTTTAATGGGTAGGTATTCTGTCACTTTGCATCAAGACGACATTTGCCTACTAGGCCAATGTCTCTGGACACATTCCGTCAGTTTCTCCTTCACCTGTTTTACCTGGGACTGGCCCATTCTACCTCCTGGAGAATATGTGCCCTGCCTATAGACCACTAACAGTGGTCTCTCCTATTAATTCTTCAGCAGCTTATGAGGCCTCCCTTCAAACTCTTGATGTCAGCATCGCTCCGCTTGCCTTTCTCCTGGCGATATCTTTAAGCTTGCATGGCTGGAGGATTGGCTACACTAAGAGCAGGTCCTCTTTTCTGCAAAGTAACCTTACAGCCAGACCTGACCTTCCTGCCTAAGGTATTTTCTGGCTTCTGCACTTTCGTGACGTCCCTTCTCCTGATTAGTCAGCTTGCCAGACATCCATTAGTGTGTATTCACAGATGCCGAGAAAGAGAAGTTACTTACCTGTAACTCTGGTTCTTTGAGTGGTCCTCTGTGAATTCACACGTCCTCCCTGCTGTCCGTGTGCCATAGCATGCTGGGCAGCAGCGGTTGGTTCCTTAGAACTGAGGCACTGGGTGCCGGGGGCGGAGTTATATAGCTGGTGTAGGGGAGGTCCTGGCACTAAGTGCTTAAAGCTGTGAAAGTTTCTGAAGCAGCTCTGCTCAGGTTAGCCCACTAGTGTGAATTCACAGAGGGCCACTCAAAGAACCAGAGTTACAGGTAAATAACTTTCTGATTATTTGGTTCTTAATTATTTTCTGGCTCCCATCCCCAAAAGAAGTACGATTTGTGGTTAGAAGTTCTAACATACATGCAAACTCTTGGTATGAGGGCTGAAAGTATTTTGATGACAAAATATGAGTAAATTATTTGGATACGATTGGAAACTAGTTTCTATGATGAATGATGATTTCCCCCTTTTAAACCAGTGTATTTAAAATGCAGAGATTCAGATTTTGTTTAGATGCTGGGTTGAATGGACAACTTCTTACCTGTAAAATGTGTTTAAAATTGGATTCTTACTCTCTAGGAAGTTGGTTCAGATTGCATTTTTGCTTCCTAATGTGATCCTCACAGATTTCCGCTTTGCTACCTTAGGATGAAGAAGCAGTGAAGAAACTGAAAGTGAGTGCAGGCACAAAATCAAAGCTTCCAAAGCCAGTTCAGGACCTTATTAAGATGATCTTTGATGTGGAAAGCATGAAGAAAGCGATGGTGGAATTTGAGGTTACTAATTATTCTTGATTAATCCCTTTCATGGCCTCCTTTTGTTGACTGGGTAATCATAACAGCAGTAGAATCTCACACTAGCAGACCTACTTACAACCCAACAGTCCATGCCTCTTTCACAGAGCATTCATTGGCAGAAGGGGAAGGAGTATAAACACACATGGCCTGAAGTGCTGCAGATTACTCTGTGAAAAGCTAATATGGCTTCTCTGACCATAGCTTTGAGATAGAGATAAGAAGCCTAGTGCCCTTGAGATATTTTGAGCTGGACATTGGCTAGGGTTGATTAAGGTGAAGACTCCTGGAAGGAACCTGTTGTCTACTCCTCTAGCAGATATATCAGCGAATCAGTCTTTTCCCCCCACTATATGTTTTTCAACATAGATTTTAGTAAAATATCAAATATTAAAGTAATCCATGAGGAGTGTTTTTCACTATCATAGACTGAAAGCAACCTGGCATACCCCTGCAAACTCTCCGTGCATCTTTTTCTCTCCTCTGAGAAGCTTTCCTATGGAATGCAATATTCAGTGGGTGGCGATCTTCAAACAGTTCCTCACCTGAAACTGATGAAGTTCTATGAGAATTTTACTCTGTCTTCAGATCTGACCATTTTAGTTCTTCATGCAAAAGATTCTCTGTGTTTTCTCTTAGAGGCATACAGCTGCTTCTAGTAAGTGATATGTTTCAGTAGCTACTCTCCTACGTATTTTCATTCATATTTACATACAAGGGACGTGGTGGCGCTGTGGGCTAAACCGCAGAAGCCTCTGTGCTGTAAGGTCAGTAGACCAGCAGTCGTAAGATCGAAACCACGTGATGGAGTGAGCGCCCGTCATTTTGTCCCAGCTCCTCGCCAACCTAGCAGTTCGAAAGCATGCAAATGCGAGTAGATAAATCTGTACCACCTCGGTGGGAAGGTAAAACGGCGTTCCCTAGTCACGCTGGCCACGTGGCAACGGAAACTGTCTTTGGACAAGCGCTGGCTCTACGGCTTGAAAACGGGATGAGCACCGCCCCTAGAGTTGGACACAACTGGACTAAAAATGTTAAGGGGGAACCTTTACCTATTTTCATATAATGTCATCCTTCTTTAATTATTCCATTTATCTCATTGTCAGATTGACCTCATTTTCGTATAATGTCATCCTTCTTTAATTACTTCCATTTATCTCATTGTCAGATTGACCTCCAAAAGATGCCTTTGGGAAAGCTAAGCAAGAGGCAGATCCAGAGTGCATATTCCATTCTTAATGAGGTGCAGCAGGTGAGCATAAAAGAAAACCTTTATAATTCATATACCATTCATGACAGAGTTAACTGAATTATCAGCACCTTCCCCCCCCCTCAGTAAAAATTACCCTTTAAATAAAGAGAACACTTTAATAAAGGGACAATATAAACTCTTGGCTATATATTAAAAGGAGTGCATTACAGTGGTGCCTCGCTTGACGAGGATAATCCGTTCCAGCAAAATCGCTGTAGAGCGAAATCCTCGTCAAGCGAAATGAAAAAGCCCATTGAAAACCGGTTCAATGCATTCCAATGGGCGAAATACCTCAGCGACCAGCAAAGATCCTCCATAGGGCAGCCATTTTCCGGTGCCTGTCTTGTGAAAAAGCCTTCCTAAACACAGTGGGGAGCCATTTTAAACGGCGGCCGGCCATTTTGAAACCCGATGATCAGCTGTTTTCTGATTGTTGTAAAGCGAAAAATCAGTTCCCGAAGCAGGGAACCGATCATCGTAAAGCAAATTTTCCCTATCTAAACATCCTTTTGTGGTCACAAAAGCGATCGCAAAAAACACATTGTTAAGCGATTTCCTCGTCTAACGAGGTAATCGTCAAGCAGGGCACAACTGTACTTTGGTTGTTGTTTTTTTCTTGCTAGAAATTGCAGAACAGCTGCACATGAAGGGTATGGTTTGATTACATCCTGACTTCTCTACTCATTCAGTAACAGAATATTCTTAATTTATTGTTTATGATAGGGGAAGCAACTGAAATTAAGCTGGACTGACAGCTTTCATAAAGTGATGCTTTCTAGTTGATTTAAGCTGTTATCTGACATAAAATAGGAATTTAGAACCATCCAAGTTCTGAGTGTGTAATAAGAATTCCAGTTTAGTATTCTATTTCTGTAGGTCCTGTTTAGCTATTGAGTTATTTCATTTATGGCTCTCAGAACAACCCCCAAAGTATCAACTGAAACAGCTGAATAAAAACCTCTGCTTAAAATCAGAAACTGCTGTATAGTATTGTAACACTTGCAACTATTCACAAAATTTCAGTCTTTACTCGCTATGCTGCCTGGAGATCATGGAAGTTGTAGTTCAAGATCTGGAATATACAGTGAGGTCTCGACCTACTGAATTAAACCTACTGGAACGGGGTCTGTAGGTCGAAAAGTCCTCAAGTCGAAAATGCATTACCCATAGGAATGCATTGAAAACACATTAATCCACAACTCGCCCAAGAAACACACACACACACACATACACAAATTGAAAATAACATTTTAAAAAATTACCTTTCGCCCAAGAAACACCCCCCACACACACACATACACAAATTGAAAATAACATTTTAAAAAATTACCTTTTTGACGTCTTCAAGGGGTCCCCCGTCGCCGCTGCTGGAGGACTCTGAGGGCTTCGGCGCCACTGCCTGAGACCTCTCGGAGGTCTCCCCCTGCCGCTGATAGTGCTTTGGAGGCACTATCGGTGGTGGTGGGGGACATCCAAGAGATCCCATGGTGGCGGGGAAGGCCTCCAGAGTGGCTCGGCTCCCAGCAGCAGTGGCGGCGGCAGGGGACCTCCGGATGACTTGCAGGGCTTCGCCACCGCCATGGGAGGCATCTCGTAGGTCCCCGCCGCTGATAGTGGCTCCAAAGCACTATCGGCGGCGGGGGGGGACCCCCAAGATGCCTCCCATGGCGGTGGAGAAGCCCTGCAAGGCATCCGGAGGCACGACCTATGGCCTACAGACTGGAAGGGGGAGGTGGGGAAAGCGCCAAATTCAAATTTGGCACTTTCCCTGCCTCCCCCTTCTGGTCCTGAGGTCGATTCTCCGGCCGCAAGTCCAAGTTAAATTTTGCGGCCGGAGAAGTCCATAGGTTGAAAAGTACGTAATGGAGCCGACTGTAAGTCGAGACTCCACTGTATGAGGTTGTGGAAGGCTGTGTTAACACTTCAGAATGTTTGGTTACCAGTGTTTTAAACAGTCCGAGCTGGGACTACATTTTTGCATGCTAACTGGCTGACACTTATATTTTGCTTCCCTCCTCCTTTTGTAGGCAGTTTCCAATGGTGGCACAGAGTCACAGATACTGGATCTCTCAAATCGCTTTTACACTCTCATCCCTCATGATTTTGGGATGAAAAAGCCTCCTCTTTTAAACAACTTGGACTATATTAAGGTATTTGGGGCGGGGGGGGCTTGGTCACTAACAGCATTTTGACATCTGGCACTCAACCATGAAAATCACAGAAACTGTAACTGAGGATGTTCCTTAGAAATAATATGAAGTTAATCATTGTTGCTCAGTTGCACTCAACATTGCCTTTCTAAGCCAGTTCAGTGGCTAACTTGCACCAGAGAGACAGTTTCAAATCCTAAATCAAGCATAAAGTTTTCTGGGCCACCATTTTCTTACCTAATTCTCCTCGCAGCATTGTAAGGACAAACCAGTAGTTTGAAGAAGGGTGGAACAGAGGAACTATATCTACTTACTTGAACTCCTTGGATAAATATTAAGAATTTTATTTTTAAATTCTTCTGATGGGAAGTTGTTGATTGATTTTTCAGGTTCTGTTGGATTAAAAAGCCTTAAGGTCACTGAATATGTTCACTCCAAGAACTAATTTTTTACTTTTTCTAGTCCAAAGTGGAGATGCTCGACAATCTGCTTGATATTGAAGTTGCCTACAGCCTGCTCAGAAGTGGTGGTCAAGATGGGGATAAAGATCCAATAGATGTGAACTATGAAAAGCTCAAGACAGACATAAAGGTAAGTAAATGTGGAAGAAAGGGGAATACTGGATATAGTAATGACTTATTGATTTCAACTTTCCCAGGCAGGATTGGATGGATTGTTCTCAACAGCACATGTAGTTATTTGCTTATAAATATTAGACACTTGTAACAACAACCTTACGCTGTAGAATCCCATGTCTATCCCACCATCACCCATAGGTGGATGGATGGATGGACTGATTTAAATAACATCCTGAATTGCTTATCCAGACTTCAAGCACTCCAAAAGTACCAAAGAAATAACACAAAACATGTCATCAAATTATATAAAATGTTTATTCTTTACACAAGACCTCTGTCATTTCTATTGAACACATGGCATTTATGTTTAAATAACAATTTTATTCTATATCCTTACTTGCTTGGCCTTGCAACAAAGCAACATTTTTAAAAACTTCAGTTTGTCACATAATGTTCAAAGTTCCAAAGAGCCATAACCTAACTTTACCATCCATTATTCTCTGATGTACAATTTTTTTACTTGATATATTTGTGACATGATTATTTATTTATTTTCACCATCCATTATTCTCTGATGTACACATTTTTTTTACTTAATATATTTGTGGCACGATTATTTATTTATTTATTTTTTTATTGATAGATAGATAGATAGATAGATAGATAGATAGATAGATAGATAGATAGATAGATAGATAGATAGATAGATAGATAGATAGATAGATAGATAGATAGATAGATAGATAGATAGATAGATATTATTTGTGGTTTTTATGCCCAGCAAGGCTTCCAGCTTGGTTAATTTTTTTGTTAACTTTCTTCACAGGTATTAGACAAAGACTCAGAAGAAGCCAGGATCATAAAGCAGTATGTGAAGAATACCCATGCAAGCACCCACAATGCTTATGATTTGAAAGTCACGGAGGTAGGATCTGAAAATATTTGAAGTACAGAACTGATTATTTTACACACTTTGTCGTTCATTACTTATTATATTCTATATTGTGCCAAGGACCTAACTACAGTAGACACTCGATTTACAGAATTAATCTGTATTGGAATGGTGGCCGCAGGTCGAAAATCCGTAGGTTGAGGGCCCATTTCCCATAGGAATGCATTGAAGACCCATTAATCCGTAACGGGCTGAAGAACAAATACCCCCACCACCAAAAAAAGAAAATAAATGCAAAAAGCAGCACCTCACCGGTCCAAAGGGGTCCCTCACTGCCACCATCACTACTGCCAAAGCCCTCCAAGGGCTTCCCCGCTGCTATGGGAGGCCTCTTGGAGGTCGTCCGCCACCTTTGGTGGGCTTTCCCGGTGGGTAGGCCCAGTGTACCCTGGGAAAGCCACAGAGGCCTCTCGGAGGTCGTCCGCCACCGTTGGTGGGCTTTCCCAGTGGGTAGACCAGGCCTACCAGGGGAAGCCCTCCCCTGGTAGGCCCCCTGGGAAAGCCGCCAGCGGCAGCAGTGGACAACCTCTAAGATGCCTCCCATGGCGGCAGAGAAGCCCTGGAAGGCCTCCAGAGGTCCCCCTCGCCGCCGATCGTGCCTCCGGAGCTTCTCCAGAGGCACGATCAGCAGCAAGGGGGACCTCCGGACAGCTTCTCCGCCACCATGGGAGGCATCTCAGAGGTCGCTGCTGGCAATTGTGCCTCTGAAGCACAATCAGCGGTGGGGGGGAACCTCCAAGATGCTTTCCATGGCGGCGTAGAAGCCCTGGAAGGCATGCGGAAGCACAATCGGCGGCCTATGGAGCAGAAGGGCGAAGCGGGGAAAGCGCCAAATTTGAATTTGGCACTTTCTCCGCCTCCCCCTTCTGGTCCATAGGTCATTTCTCTGTCCGCAAGTCAAAGTGCAATTTTGCAGCCAGAGAAGACTGTAAGTCAAAAAGTCCGCAGGTGGAGCCGTCTGTAAGTCGAGGGTCCACAGTAGATACATGTTTTGTATGCAAACCTGTAATAAAGGAATAGAAGTTCTTTTGTTACTTAGGTTTATCTGTCCTACTTCCTGGGGCTGGTGCCCTTAACTAGCTTAAATGACTTGGCATTATTTAAACTACCCATCTGCAAGACTAGTACTTATGAGAAATAAACAAGGTTGTAGATCAAAATGACCTTTATGGCTACAGAAGGTTACACTATCTTAATTGAGTTGAAATTAGATCTTAGAAAAGGTACATTTTTGGACTACCAAATTCCAGAACCCTTTAGCCAGCAAAGCCAGTGGCCACGCTGGCTGTAGGAGTCTGAATTGTAGGTCGACGTGGTACCGTGGTTATTGCTTGCCAGAATCCCATGTCAAGCAGAATTTGAAATAGAGTTTTGAAGCTGATGTTGTGTCAGATGATGGCTAGGATGGAACTCTGGTTAGCATTCACCATGGTAAATATTGATGCCAGTGTAACAGCCAGTGTAACCCTCAGCCACTTGGCTAAAACTGGTAAGGCATATTCTTTGCTGAGTAAAATAAGAGACTGGCCAGATCCCATCCTGACTGCCACTGTTCAAGGCTAATGGATGTATTGTGTGATACCTCCAGTTTTTTATAATAGAAATTAGACCAGGCTCCTTACAATTCTGCCTTGAAGTTCACCCACTCAGCAACTTGTATCAAATTTGTCAAAAAATGTGAAACAGAATTAAGTACAATTGTGCACATTCTCTGTTAAAAGGGAAAAAGCTAAACCTAACTCTGCAGTTTAGGGAGAAATGAGAGCTCAGGTGTATAGAACTTGGGACTAAACAATATTATATCTGGGATCAGTTGGTATCTTTCTTCCTAAAAGCAACTGTTTTTAGGGTATACATGTTAAAAGTCAAGGGAGATGGGTGGTCTAACTATATCAGACAAGAACAATCCCAAGTATTTCCCCCACCCACCCAAAATTATTTTTAAAAAAGAAAAATTACACATATTTGGTGTAAATGGCAAATTTAAGCCTCAAAAAGACTAGTTCTGGGATGGAGAGGGACAAAACAAGACAAAATTGGGCAATGTGAACATATTTTGTGGTTTCTTTTGGCTCCTGCAACTGACTTCAAGATCCCAACTAGCATGCTGAATTAGAAGTCCTTCCAAGCAACTGTCTAATGCATTTACATCAGCCTGAAACCCTTCAAATGTTTTAATACATTTCTTGTATTTAAATACAGCGTGAAATATTTCAGTTTTCAATTCCTCTCTCCCAGCAACCAAAAGTAATTTTGAAAATCCTATTCCTAGAGGGAGTATCTGAATGTAAACTGTTATATGCAGGTTCATGTCAGTAAAAAGCTCTGTGTAGCTCTATGTGCACAGATTCATTAATACCTGAGAGTAAATACTGTTCTGCCACACATTAAATCTTTTGTTCTTCACCTTACAAAGATTTTCAAGATTGGGCGTGAAGGAGAAAGCCAGCGTTACAAGCCATTCCAAGAATTACACAATCGCCAGTTGCTCTGGCATGGCTCTCGTACTACCAATTTTGCTGGTATTTTGTCCCAGGGTCTCCGAATTGCTCCCCCTGAAGCTCCCGTGGTACGTAAAATGCTAATTTGCTGTTTGCTCATGTAAATGGTGCATTTTAAATTTCCACTGCCCCCAAAACTCAGTCTGAGTGTTATTAATAGAAATAATAGAACTTTATAATTAGCCAGATATTGGAAAGTTATCATTTTAAGCCATTTCAAATGTGGTTCAGGCTTACCACAGACACAAGTTATTTACCTCGGATGTTAGTCTTCTAATAATGTCTGGGACCATTATTTCACCGGGTCCCTATTAATGTGGAGAGAAAATTAAGCATACATTCATATTCCAATTTTTTTCCTTTCTGTTACATTTGAAACCTTGGTAAGATTTGTTTTTTTATTATTTTTAAACTATTATGGTCAACCTTTGTTTTAAAAAGAAAAATAAAGTGACAAAATTTACCTGTGGAATGGAGTTTGCCTGTGATACAGAAGGCTTAGGAAAAGGAAACATTCTTCCCGGTTCATGGGAGGCATCTTCTATGAGCAGAACTACCATTCCTGGAAGGTGTCTTCATATAATTTTCAGAAATGTCCTTCCCTGCTCAATATTTGATAGAGAAAGTGATAAGTAGAACAGCACCCACTTCTACTGTGGCCTTTATAGACATGTAAATCCAAATCTAATTATAGGCAGAAAATAAACATGAAGGAGAATGATTTTGTAACAGAGCTACTAGTAATGAAGGCTAAAGTTAAGGATGGCATTGAGTGTCAAATGTATTTCAATCTTTCAAGCCATAACATCTGTACACCAGCTTGCAACAAATCATTCTATGCAGTCCAGAGCATTATAATTAGAGATGGGGGTATTCGTAGATGAATACGAATATCCCTGCGCAGGTGGAAATACTGAGGGTCCGGCCCCATGGAGCCAGACCGTCCACTCATCTTTTTAAACGGGCATATAGCATCTAATCTGCCCTGCTGTGTTGTTTTTAATCTATATCCTTTTACGTTGGAACTGCTTTATATGATTTTATTGTTTTTTAGCGAAATATGATTTTATCTGTCTTTGTTCTTTTAAAAATTTGAAAGCCACTTTGAGCTCCATTGGAAAGGCAAGGTATAAATGTAATCAATCAACAAATAATAAATACTAGTGGTATGTCTGCAAATTGTACAACAGCAAAAGTCTAGATTTACTTCTTAACTTATGGCAATTCACTGTTGAGATTTACACCAAATGTGATACACTGGAGCATATAACTAATACTGATATATTTTCAGGTTTATTTCACTGGACAAGGAGATGTAGGTTGTCTTTAGTATCTTTATTTTCATACTAGACTTCTCTGTTTAGGTGATTTTTGGGAAATAAAACATTTCCTCTTAAGATACAACTTCTGCTTTCTTTTTAGACTGGCTATATGTTTGGTAAGGGTATCTATTTTGCGGATATGGTATCCAAGAGTGCCAACTACTGTCATACCTCTCAGACTGACCCAGTCGGCTTAATCTTGCTTGGAGAAGTTGCCCTTGGAAATATGTGAGTAATGTGTTATTAAAACAGGAGTGTTTGTACTTACATCAAAATTTACATATAAAGTATGATTTATACTGAAGTGTTGTATTTGAAAGTGGTGAAATGATTTCATTCACCTAAAGCTGTTTGTCAGCTCTGAGTAAATGTACTGCTCTGAAAATCCTCCTCTTCTCTGTTTCTTAGGTATGAACTTAAAAATGCTTCCCACATAACCAAGCTCCCGAAAGGAAAACACAGTGTCAAAGGTAAAATCTTACTGGAAATATTGTTACAATGCTATGGCAAATTTGATATTCAGTTTATATGATATTCGGAATTGTTCTGTACTTTCGGCTAAATTTATTTAAGCATTGTGCAGAAAGACAGGCCTTACTGTATATTGCTTAATAATTTCTTTAAATTATTGGACTAATATGATGTTACATAAAAAAGGCAAAGCTAAACTTGAATAGTCCATTTTAACTAAGTGCAAATCAAAGAGCTAGCAGAAATGAAAAAATAGTTCTCTTCATACATCAATATTAATATGCTATGCTAGATCGATCTGGGAGTTTGGATATGGGGAGATGTAAGTCCAGTTTCCCTGCTAAACAGGAAAGCTTGCAGCTGTACCTAGATCCAGCCACCTTTTCAATCTCAGAGTAAAGGATTGCATAAGTCACTGTGCTGTTTTTTAAAACACAGGAAGACCAACCCAAAGGAATATTTGATAGATTGTGTAGGAGAATTTTAGGAATCCAGGGCAAAATCTTGTTAAAGAAACATGCAGGAATAAATTAATAATAAGTAAATAATTACAAATTGCAGTTTGTAATTGGAGCAAGCCGGAAAATGCTCCATTGATGGCCGTATGGCTTTTGTGCAGACAAGGGACTAGTGAGCATCTTTCAGATGCTAAGGAAGAACAACTGTGCATATTGGATCATTGGAAGTACAATTTTTTAAAAAAGGATCCCTCAGTGTTAAAGTTGCCATCCTAAAAATCGATACGGGGGCCAAGTCTCACTGAATGCCGCAATTGATACCTCTTAGTAAACATGTATAGCAGGGGTCCCCAACCCCTGTCCGTGGCCTCATGCTGGTCCATGGGCTTCGCAGGACCGTACTGTGGAGACAGCTTTCCTGTCCCCCTCCCCACACGCATGCACATGCGCAGGTGAGCGGGCACGTTCTCAGGTGGGCGTGGACAGCTCGCGTGCATGCATGCCCCACTCACCCGTGAGCATGCCATGCCCACCCATGCATGCGCCCAAGCGTGCCATGCCCCCGAGCACACCACGCTCACCCACACATGCGCACCATCCCCCCGCAAGCACGCCACTCCCATCCGTGAACGTGCCACACACACCCCACAAGTGCGGGTGTGTCCCTGCACACAGACCCTGCTGTGAGGGTTCGTTGGGGTGGACTGTTTTCTCCCCAATAAACGGACGAGGCACTGGCGGCAAGTCAAAAGGTTCTACATTTATTCCAACATTAACATCAACTGGGTTTCCCCCCACAAAGGGGTTCAAGGATTCTTGTAACACATGGCTCGGTGTTAACGGAGTCCACAAACTATGTACAAAAGGGTTCGTTGTCTCTGGATTCCAGGGGCTGGTTGTAGATGGCACAGGCTCCAGTCCAGGGTCCAAAACTTCTTCCAAGGAGATCAAGGGTAGTGTCTCCTCGTCTCCACTCCAGCCGTCCCAGGAGGATCCCTCTCCTCCATCGGCACCCCAAGGGCCGGGTAACCCCCTAGCTTCCTCAGTTCGGCGATATGCCATTGCTTCTTTCTTTCACGTTCCCTGGCAACCGCTTCTCTCTCCTCACGGAGTTTTCTCCTCCGCTCCCTAGCTTCCGTTTCCCCCCAATATGAGGGTCGGGGTTTCAAACCGAGCTGCCGGCGCTTTTCCGCCTCCTCATGAGGAACCCTGACCTGTTCCCCCTTGTGGGTCCAGGGGTCCTCCATCCACACCCATTCCCAACCGCCTGGAATATCCCTTGGTCTTTCTCTTATATCCCCTACCCCTGCTTCAATCTCCTCCCCTCTGTTTCCCGCCCGAACTCGCCCCGGTCCCCTGGTGATTTTTAACTCTTTCATGACCTCCTCCAGGTCATGGGTATCTACCCCCTTGTTTAGGGTGAGGGATCCGACGCTTTCCTTCCCCCAATCGGGTTTCCACGCTTTTCTCTTCCCGTCGCGGAGGGGATGGCGGGGGGGAGGTCTGTGTGTGGTGGGTGCTCTTCGGGAGCGACGGCACTCCTATCATGGCCTCCATCTTGGGAGCCTCACACCTGCCCCCCCAACTGGTGTGCCATTCCGAAAAGGTTGGGGGCCAGATGTATTGCACAGCACTGTAACAATCTTCTAGAGATATTTCCCATAAACGATCGGAAAACCCATGCTGAGCTGCTTTGAATTCTGCGTGTCTGCGCTATTTTTAATAACTCAGCAACTTCTCTAGTACTGTACCTAAATGTTTCCTTTCCAACATTGCATTTTTGAGATGGGAGTGAAGGAAATATTTATGATACATATAAGTTGTGTGACAGAAGGTTCTAGCAGAGGTCTAATCAGACTGGATTGATCAGTTATCTAGCTACAACATTCTATTTAAATCTTGTGAGCAAGAACACAGTATTTTTCTCAGCACCTTTCCTATTTTCCGGAATCATAAATACTGCAGTACAAATCAGATCAGCTTTGAATGATTTTAATGTACATGTGAATTTATCAACTTCATTTGTTTGTTTTCCTCATATGTAGGTTTGGGCAAAACAGCACCAGATCCTTCAGCCACTATATCACTTGATGGTGTGGATGTTCCTTTAGGCCCTGGAATTCCCTCTGGAGTTAGTAACACTTGTCTTCTGTATAATGAGTATCCTTTGAAAAGCATTTTTCTAGAAGTACCAGAGTAGAGTCTGCCTCTGTGCCTGTCACAAGGTGGCTGACTGCTTTCAGCTAAAAGCTGCCGTCCACAAGGAATACTGACCTTTAACGTCAGCTTGTGAGGTTTATAGCAGGTGGTTTATTCTGCAGTTTGGAAAACAACCTATATGATGACCTTGGCTTTCAGCAGTCAGGAAGTAAAATAAGGGGTCACGCAGTCTCTCCCACCCCCATGCCCAGTCTGAAATGAAAATCTGTTCTCTGTAGTTATCATTCTGACAGAGCTATACTCCCAGCTTATCAGTCAACAGCTGGGGTGGTGGTTTGTAAATTTTTTGACTCTATCCCTTCCTGCGGGAGAAAAGGATCATTGTACTATATATTACTTAGACCTCGTCTATGATACTTCTGCAACATGCTGTACTTCTCTACGCAACAGTTCAGAAATTACATGGTGTAATGAATGCAATAGGCACAAGCTGATGCCTTGCGTTGTCAAATAATTGCTCCATCTACCTAGTCATATCTACATGGTTCTGGAGAATATAGTAAGCACATTAGTTTTCCTGCACCTATGATAGCTGCCAGTTTGATTCCAGTGACTTTTTTAAAAAAGCTGACCAAATTTGAGCTTTAAAATTGTAAACATTATAATCTAGCACACTTAAAAGAACATTTACAGCGGTGCCTCGCTAGACGATTGCACATGCGCAAGACGATTGGTTTTTGCAATCACTATGGTGCCTCGCAAGACATTTTTTTCTATGACCGTGCTCCACAAGACTTTTTTTGAGACCGATGCCTCACAAGACTTTTTTAGACCAATGCTTCGCAAGCCTTTTTTTTTTTGACCAATGCAAGATTATTTTTTCACAAGACAACTTTTTTCACAAGACGACGATTTTCACGGAACAAATTAAAACTGTCTTGTGAGGCACCACTGTATTCCAATATCAATACCCTATCCTTAGCTGTGAGGATATATAGGACAGCTCCAGAAAACTAGCCATGTCAGTCTGTTGCAGCAAAGACTCTTGTGGCATCTTGAGGGGTAACTAGTAACAGCTAATCAGAACGTAGAGGTTGCTTTTTAAGCTGCCACAAGGCTTTTTGCTGTTCAGAAGAGCTGCTGCTTTGGATGCCTGCTCTTGCGGGTGTTAAATCTTATGACAACCTGGAATTAGACATTCTCGACTGTGGCCCTCTAGGAGGGGTGGGCAAAATTCAGCCTCCGCAAAGGTACTTTTGCCACCCCAAAGAAAACCTTAGAAGTCTCCAGTAAAAAAGTATCCCTGCTTTTGAAGTAGAGAAAAAAATAGGCGGTGATTTCAGCATAGGGGTCAAGGCTACCCACCCACCCACCAAAAAAACAAAATACAAATCAGAAGTATTTGTCTTTTTTTTTTTTAAGTGAGCATTTCAAGCCATTTCCAAGCTTAGTGGGGCCTAGGAAAGGGTCTGGGGGCAAGAATTCAAGCCTTTAAGCCCACTGAGATCACTCATTCCTGCACTATGGCTATTACAGAGCTTCATCTCTCCTACAGTATTAAAGGATTATTAACGCTCATTTGATTTGGCAGCCTTTAGGAATGGTTAAGCTGCTGCAGTTTGTAATGAAAGGCAAGTATCCTACTGAAATTAGTACACAGAAAGGAAATCGTGGAAATGGCCCCAGCTATATGACTAGTTGCATTACAGTACCATGCCCCATAGCCGCAGCTGTTTCCACAATTTCTTTTGCACACATACTAATTACAGTAGTGTTTAATGATTTGTATTTGTACTTTTACGGTATATTTTATTTTGAGCCACTTAAAACATTTGTGTTGTATTCAGCATTGGACTTCTACGAGCAGAATAGTGGAATTGGGTGGGGGAGCACTCGTTCCTGCTACAGTCTTCTTTACAGTTTAAAAATCTGTTTGAAAGAGCTGGAAGACCCTATGAAATTGGTTTTCTCTGAGACTAGGCACAAGGAAGGAAAGAAGGTACCATTAAAATGTTGAAAATGGGCCAGAGAACTTTGTGATCAAAGAAGGAGGCAGGAGTTCTAGAAATTCTACAATGGTTTGAAAACTGCCCTCCATACATATGACTACATAAAAATACGGAAAAAATGGTAGAGGTAAGCAATTTTGTTTTTCTGTTAATTGTGCAAAAACTTTAGTGTCACATAACAATAATGCTCTTCATAAACTCTTTTTCAAAATTTTCTTTTCCTTAATGCATTATTTTAGATATATTGTTTACGATGTTGCTCAAGTAAATCTGAAGTACCTGCTAAAACTGGATTTCAATTATAAGACATCACTCTGGTGAACAAGAACTGGACTTACTAAAACATTAATACTGTAAAACCTTTTGAAATGCCTAAGCATTGACTCCTGCTGCTAAGATGCAAGAAATACGTTGCAGAGCAATGCTGAATCTAACTTTAGTCCATCACCTTAGCAAGGTTTTTTATGCACATGCAGCAACATAATAGAATTGAATATTATGAGAATTTTGTGGGTTTTTTTCTGTCTTTGCCTCCCCTTGATTTTTTCTAGATTGGGGGCTATTGAGTGTCTTTTAACTGACAGACAAAAGAAATCCAAATACTCTTGATTTTAGCCTTTTTGTAAGAAAGATAGGGAGGATAGAGTTAGAATGGTTGAAAAACATTTTGGGTTTTCTAAAAAAAAAATAAAAGATCATCTTTAGCTTCTATTATGAATAAATGTTAAACGTGTTTATTTTGAAGTAAAAATAAAAGCTAATTTCTTACAAAGTCTTTATGCTTATGCTGCAAAACCTTTATTGCTTTCAGTCCAGGCCTGTGGTCATACTATGTCAGTTAATGCACCAGGATTAATGTTTGTGTAGCGAAGTCAGTGGCATGACAGAAGCAAGTGTGGCAATCCTGACACACTCCTCAGCGCCCTTGGAATTCCACTGGATGACAGTCACAACATTGATATCAAGAAAAACCAAAGTTTACAATTCATACTACGATGATACTATATTGAGTGAACCAAAAAGTCCCATAAAGTTCTCTATACACATACCCCCATGAACAGTTTACCAAATAATGACCAGCAAAAGCCAAGTGATTTTGCATCATCCAACCCAGTACTCGTACCTTGTTCTATCCTCCTCCTGTGTGCCATCACATTTCTCATGCATTTAGCTATCATGAACCAGAACTTGCACAGAACAGCCATCTGACCTTTTCACCAAAGGATCTGAGGTTACATGGCCTTTATCTTGCAGTGGGGACAGTGTTATGCCATGTAATGCCCCCATATCATATGGGAAAGTATGCATTACCTTGATTAAAAGGACACCACCTAAAACTGGTTCATATGAAAAGCACAAGCTTGTCATCTCATAAACCTGATCTCTGCTCTCAGCTCATCTGTGAAAAGGGATGCAAATGTATTTATGACACCACTGATTTAGCATAAAAATTAATTAAAGCATAAACATTTTAATAGGATGAATTGGGCTAAGGTCTACAACAGCTTATACCAAATAGCACACTTTAGCCTTAAGATGCTACAAGCTTTTTGTATTTTAAACTACTTTTCTGCAGGCCAAGACTATGTCCCAAATAAATTTACATACTGCTCCAAAAAAGCTGAAGTTCTGTACCCTGTATAAACTAGGTTTATACAGTCACAGGTTCTGAAGTCAACCAAGTTACTTTGGCAGAAATCCCACATGCACCTCTCCCCATTGCTGCCAGTAAAAATACAGAAATATTAAATATTTAATACTAAACTTTTATATATTTTGATATTGATTTCCCAATTTCTTTTAAGTGACTGGCTGATCATACACATTTGACCTATATTTTCTTAGGCTCTATACGACCTCTACAAGTTCCAGTCTGTAAGCAGAAAAGCAGGAATAACGCCACTGTCACATACAACACATATTGATAGGCTGCTTAGTGCCTGCCACAATGCTTCTGTGTATTCTCTGGGGCTTCAGTAACAACCGATACCTCTTTCAGAAGTTTCTGAGCACTTTTCAATGTGAGGTAACTTTCATGAGGAAAAAGGATAACTGCTCCATTAGACAGGTACACTATCAGGTACACATTCTTATACCACCTAATTCCAGATTGTTTCTTAATATAATTGTCATTTACTAAAATTCTACTTTTAAATTTGCTCTCCACTGTGTATGTAGGAACCAGAGTGATGGACTAGGACTCAAGAATTCTGGATTGAAATCCCCAGTTAGCCGTTGAAATGTGCTAACAAGTTACAATGGTTAAAAACCACTCTTAAGTATTTCCTATACCTTGAAACCTTATTAGGTAGTTATACCCTGTTTCCCCAAAAATAAGACCTAACCTGAAAATAAGCCCTAGTATGATTTTTCAGGATGCTCGTAATATAAGCCCTACCTCCAAAATAAGCCCCCGTTAAGTGAAACCCCACCCTCCACCATCGTACAGCAACAATAAGAATGACATTACTGTATTTGAATAAATGTACCGGTAAGTTGTTGTAAAGGAAAAAAAATTCCATGAAAATAAGCCCTAATGCGCTTTTTGGAGCAAAAATCAATATAAGGCCCTGTCTTGTTTTCAGGGAACCACGGTACCCCAGATTCAACTTGACTGCACATAAACCAATGTACTGTATACAGTACAGTATATCCTATTCCAGTCATATACAATAGATAAAATTAGAGCCCCAAGCCTCTAAAGAGGTGGGCAGTGGTACAGCATGACTGATACTACCACTTCCTGATATGAATGGCAATGTATGGAAGGGGCAGTATGGGGTGAATCTTAAAATACCTGGCCAGTGGGATTTCCACAGACATCTAGCTGGGAACTGGGCCATACTCCCTTTGGTCTAATCCTGCAGGCATTTAGACTTTTGTGTGTTGGGAACAGATTAGCAAAATAGGAGTCTGCGTGCAACCACTTTGGCCAGAAGGCACAAGCACATCTGGAAGGTGCAAAGTTAAAATATGTATCTGGAAACGAATTAAGCAGGCTAAGGGCTGTACAGCAAAATATTTTTACATAATCGTAACTTGGACCACTGAGAAAGAGAAAACTGTATGTTATGGAGGCTGCGATTTCTAATCCGCGTTCTGACTTTAAAAGCGGGCCTGTATTTATAGCATTATATGCGTAGGGCTTACTCGTGTACAAAGGAGTCAACCCCACCGCTTACAATGAGACATTAGTTTTCCAAATAAAGACACGGGTGGCGCCCTGTACATACTGTATAATAGAGATTAAAAGCCGTATAAGGAGCGGAAACGGGAGATCTCGGATACAGTACGGGACTAAAGAACTCCAGACATACACACAAACCTAAGAAAAGTGACTACGAAGTGAGGGCTGCCTCCTACGTCCCGCCTCACGACGCCCGATTCCCAGCGCATAGACTCCGACAGCTCAATTAAGTCGGTACCAAATGACGTCCAAACCCGAGTCCCGCTGTGTGACAGAACCATGCACGAAGGTTTTGCCGGAGGACCCAGCCGTCACCTCGCCCCGCTTCAGTCCTCATGAAAAAGCAGAATACAGTAAATCTCATGGCGGTTTAATAAGCTACACAGGCACGGCGCGCGAAGCCCACAGCCCGCTCGCCTCGGGCTTGGAGAAACCGGGACAGGCTGAACCGCTAGCGCGGCCTCCACACACACACACACACCCCAGTCCCTCTCCCTCTCGCCCTGCCCTCCCCCGTTTCTCCAGTCACGCAGGCTGGAGGACTGAGTCGCCTCCCCCACAATGCACCGCGACCTGCAGCCTTTGAAAAAGCGGCGCGGCTCCTTCAAGATGGCGGAGTTGGATCAGCTGCCTGACGAGAGTGAGTAGCGACCTGTGCCCCGTGCTCTGTCCCGCGGCCGGCCTTTCCTACTCCGCTGCTCCTAAAGTAATGGTTCCGGGTACGGGACCCTTCTCCTGCGCCCCTTTCGTGAGCCACAAGCATCGCTCCGCTCTTGTTGTTGTTGTTGTTGCCGCTGCCGCCGGCGCCTGCTTACCGCTGGCTGTTCTTGCTGCTGCTGCTCCTGCTCCTTCTGTTGTTGTGGGGACTGGAGCGAGAGCCGTGCGGGGTCGGAGCCACAGTCTCCTCCCTCAGTGCCTGGCCCCGGCCTAGCTCTGTTCTCTCGTGTCGCACCCCCGAGCTCTCTCTTTGGGAAGCCGTTCGGCGTATTGGGGGGGGGGGGTTGGGGGCCCAACAGAGCAGGGCCGGAAGCCTCTGTTATGTAACCTCCCTTTCTCCCGTTGGGGGAGAGCCGCGCCCTGCACCCCGAGACCTGGGGCAGGCCGGGCCACAGAATAAAACACGCCCTCTTAAGCCGGGTAAAGAAGCGTTGTCTACCGGGTGCTGGGTGGCACTGCGCTGACGTTGCATCTCTCCAAATGGGGAATGAAACCCAGAGTACAGCACCACAGGGGAGATAAAAATTGGGGTGGTGGTGGTGAGGGGGTGTCCCTGACCAGCCATCCTCTTTGAGGGGGCTGACATGTCACTGCTTTCTATGTACAGTATTAGGGAAGGCGTAGATGCTTGCTGTTTACACTGAGTGTACAGCTGCGTAGGAAACAGCTGATCAACTGGATAAATAAATCCTCCTTTCTCACTTTTTTGTCCATACCAATGTGAGGGTGGCAAAGAGCAAGGTACTAATTTCTGTCTTTTATATACATAAAGTAGTAATTTAATAGATGATAATATTTTTAAGCACAGAACCAAAGATGGTGCTTGCTTTGGGGGATGTTCACTCTGTGGTGTCGAATGTGCTTCCAAGGAGTTAGTTTGGCACAATATGAATGTGTAGTTTGTGTCTTGTGTGGTCCCATGTACAATCAGTCTTCTCGGGTTATGGATACACTCTCTTGGGAAGCAAAAACAAGGATTTGTTTTCATTGGGGTCACATTTTCACTGAGGGACAGATAACACAGTTTCCTTTTCAGACTATTTTGAGTGAATAACATATAGATGTCCCAATAAAACAATGGCTGAAATCCAGTTGTAAACCACAAGTAGAGTAGGCCCATTGAATCTGTGGAACATACATTGGTGTTGATTCTCCAGATTCCCACTGATTCAGTGGGAATCTGGAGAATCTGCCTTACTGCTGGATTTTAGCCACTTTGTCCCCATGTCTGTATTTCTCAGAGGATTGAGAACCACTGTGGAAGTATACACACCTGATGCTGTTTGAAATTTACATAATGTGATTGTTTAAGTAAAAACATGGATACTGTAGATGTTACACTGAGCAATGTAGATTTGTATAGAACAGTGGTTCTTAACCTTTGTTACTCAGATGTTTTTGAACTGCAACTCCCAGAAACCCCAGCCAGCACATCCATATAGAATAGAAGACATGAACAGGAATATGTACATCAAGCAACAGGCATCAAATATGTCAGAAATAAAAATTGTATGGAAATGTTCTGTAAAATTATTGAGAAGCCCCTTTAAGGCAGATATTACTGAGAAAAGCAATTATATGTTTGAAGAAGTGACCATTGTTGTCATTGTCACATCAAATGGTGTGCAATGGAAAATTGATAACAGATTGTCAAAAAAGTGACCACTAACACGACTTCTGAATTTTTATTTACTATATACCATTTTAGCAATAGCAGTTTCTAAAGGTGAAAATCAGATACTTCTGGCCTTCCAGAACTGGTTGAACTCTACATGTCTCAATCTGAGGCAGCAAGCACCTTGATCAAAGATGTCAGAAGTTGTATTATGTCAATATCTGGAGGACCAAAGACTCCCAAACTCAGTCCTGATCTATTGTAGCTTTTCTCTGTTTGGTACCTTCCATCATCTGACTACTGATCATGCTGGCTTAGTCTGATGGGAACTGTCCATTACTTCAGGGAGAAACCAGCTGGAGAAAGGCTGAAGGCATCAAATAATGTTATTTTAAGATGAGATGTTAAAACTACCTGGAGTGTGTCACTTCAGAAGTTCATATCATTCATATTGTAATAGAGCTTGAAATAATTGGATGGTTAATTCCCTGCCTGTGGAAAACTAGATGTCAGGGAGAAGGTTCTAGTCTGACTTCCCATGTGTGAGATTTCTCAAGCAGTTCCTTGTAGATGCTTGTGACTTGCCACATCCAGTCTGTAATTATACAGTCCTGACTCAAGTTCACTGCTTTATCTCCTGATTTTGAAAACTTAGACTCAAAAGAACAATGTTTAGGTATTATGTCAGGAATTTCACAATCTCAGGGAGCTGCCGCTGAACACGTATTTTTCTTTCTATATCCAGCCCACCCCGCTCTCATTATAGACACATATACAAAGCGTCAGACAGCATTGAGTTTAGATGCTTTTCTGCAGGAAACTGACTGGTTTTCGGCAGATCTAAGAACTCATACCAGAATCTCTTGAAATAGGCTGTAAATCCCACTGATGTCATTGGGGCATCTGATTAAGCAGGTATAGGTCTCGTCTCTTAAGATGTTTAAGAAATGTAGTGATTTATTTCAGGGTGGCTTTGATTTAAATCATAATTTAAATTTAAAAAATCAGATTTTTTAAATGATTTAAACTAAAAACCATTTTTAACATTTAAATCATGATTTAAATCAATTTGATTTTAAAAATATATTGATATCTATCCATCCTGATTTATTTCCATTTTGACTATGCTGACCGGTGCTGTACTCATGTAGCAGTTTGCCTGACAGTGCATTTATTTGAAGTTACACCTATCATCATTCCTGATGTCTTCCAGCTTACCCAGTTAGATTTTGATTTGAAAAAAAAGTCCCCACATTTTACATCCTGGGATTTAAAAACATTTATTTGGAAATAAGTCCCACAAATTTAAATAAAATTTAATATCATCAAAAAGTATTAGTACTTGCATCATGGACCATTAATTGGTATTTTCCTCATAACTAGCTTCTAGATGTATGCTGAACTAGTATTTGCTCACTGTCCTCTGAAGATGCCAGCTATAGAGACAGGCAAAAAGTTTGGAAGAACAACCTTCAGAACATGGCCAAAGAACCCTAAAACTCACAACAACCATTAGATCCCGGCCGTGAAAGCCTTTGCAAATACCTTAAATGAAACCAATCTTCCATGACGTAAAGTATCTTTGACTATATAGGAGATTCTACAGTGTGCATAGGAAAGCAGCAGTGTTGATTTATATATCTTAAGAATGCTTCTGAATCTACTTGTAGGCTAAATTCCTATTTGTCTAAGCAGTCCATTCAGAGATACAGTATTTACCAGTACATTTGTGAATCTACTTGTAGGCTAAATTCCTATTTGTCTAAGCAGTCCATTCAGAGATACAGTATTTACCAGTACATTTGTGAAGATACTCATCAATTGCTATATTTATCATTGGAGTAGGCTTATGTTAGAAGAAATCATATTCATCTCTGACTTTTGGACTTCAATCACTTTGAGGTGATTTCTTACTCAAATTTTTGCCTCTATTCTGAGAAAAGCTGGGGTGATTTTTCAAGCATTTATGTATGTATGTATGTATTTATTCATTCATTCAATTTATATCCCACCCATCTAGACTGAAGTCTACTCTGTGTGGCTAACAGTAATCCGTAGAAGTAAAAACAATATAATAAAAATAACTGTAATAATATAATTCAAGATGGCAAAAGTAATTAGGTGATGACAGGAGAGGAAGCCTGCCTAAAGAGCCAGGTCTTAAGTTTGCTCTTAAAAACACCCAGCGAGGGAGCCAGGCAGATCTCTGCAGGCTCTGCAGGTTATCTGCTGTAGTGTTGGATTGTGAATTATAAAGAGTAGGGGACTGTGAGACATGAGGCGAGGGGGTAGAAGCCCTTGCCGGAGTTTCGTCCTCCCTTAGGAAAGAACGGGGGGGGGGGGGAACAGACCTACTTGCATCACCCATCGCGATGGTACAACAGGGAGTGGACACCAGGGAACTAGAATGGGATTTTGCTAAAATAACTATAGCGACTCAGACTGAGGGGGAAATGGCGGGAAAAGAAGAAAGGGGCAAAACCACCGTGGAGACGGGAACAGGGGATATAAAAGGGGCAAGAGACAATATACCCGGGGGTTGGGAGTCAATATGGGTGGAAGATCCCTGGACTGGGAAGTGTGAAAAGGTCTGGGTCACCAGGGAGGAGGCAGACTACAGAAGGAGAAGAGGTCTGCCTCCTCAACTCTTGTATTGGGGGGAATCAGAGGCGCGTGAGTGGCGCCGGAGATTGAGAGAAGAGAAGGAAGCTGTGGAGAGGGAGGAAAGGGAGAGAAGAGCAGGGAGACTGGACGAAGCCCGTCTGAGAGGGTTCTGGCCGGACCATGGGCTCCCTTACGAAGAGATGAGGACCCCTTTGACCCCGAGGGGAGAGATGAAACTATACTGCTGATAGACCCAGGAATGGACTCTTTGGACTTGGGTGACAATAATCCCTTTACCAAGGGTCCCTGGAATGATTCTGAGTTTAATCCATTTAACAAGGACATTTGGATGCCATCGTGGGACCCGTTGGTCGTGAGAGACAATGTTGGAGTAGAATTAGAAGCAAAGAACCTGTTGTTCAATGTTCCAGTAAAACTCAGTTTTGATTTTGTAACTCATGAGCCTCTGGTGTCTATGGCCAAACCAGAAGAGACCCCTTTTGAACCCTCACAGGGACAGAAGGCCTTGCTGGTTCTCATTTGGCCATTCTGTCTTCAGTTATAACTTAAGATTGCCAAAGATTTTATTTTAGTTCATACCAGAAGGAACCTTGTGGTTGATGAAAATATAAGCATAAATACCTATACTGGGGGGTAGAGTAGAAGTGAAAACCACAACCCTGTTGCATTCTCTCCTCTACTGTGGAAAATTGGTCTTGATAAATAAATAAAACAATAATTCAAGAAGAATGTAGGACAAAGCAGAGGAGAGAAGAGCATTGGTTTTATTGCTGCTCCCCCAACCCAGCTATTTCACACTGGTCAAGGCAGAAGATAGTTTCACCATTTTTTTTTTAGCCTGACCATTTTCCCCCTCTCCTTTGATTGCAGTGTAGGGGAGGAGGGAATTACCTGTATTAATTCCAATGGATGCAAAGCTGGCTTCTCTCCACTCATAGTATACCTGGTTGGAGATAATTTGTTTGCAGAGCCCTCAAACTCATCACAGGGGCACCAGCTAACTCCAATGAACTCAAAATTGGTACTGACATCCAGCCATTGGTATATGGAGTTAGCTTTGCACTGTTAGATATCCAAGATATAAATGCAGCAGTAATTTCTCTCTGAGAAATGATTCCATGTTGTTATTTATTTCAGGTTCATCAGCAAAAGCCCTAGTTAGTTTGAAAGGTAAGTCTTTTATTTCTTAGTGGTATTTGTGAAGCTCAATGAATGGGAGATAGTGTATCAAATTTACATATGCGCATCATATGTGTACTAATACACTTGGTTGATTCTCTTGTAAATGTAGAATGAAATTTCTTTATCTTTTTAAATTTTAAAGCGTGTGTATAATGCTTTACATTATAAGAAATGCTCAAAGTGATTAACAAGAATGAAAGTATAAAGAAAACCAGCTAATTAAACAAGCCAAGCAATGAAAAAAATAAACAAAAACAAAAAGGACAACCAAAAAATAGACAAATAAATTTAATCACAAAGCATTGCAGAATAATTTAACCATGCTGGAAAATAGGAAATGAAACTTGTTGGCATTTCTTATACTTTATGATGACACATGTATTTTTTTTCCTATATAGAACTGTAAATGTGAAGATTTGGAAAACAACGTGAAACATAATCTGGAAAGAAATTAGGAAACAAAATTCTGTCTTGTGTGAAAAGACCATAAACTAAATCCTATTCAATACAGTTCTATGCAAGAGGCCTACATCTGCTTATACATAAGCATTTGTTTTCATATGTGTATATTGTAATTCTGTAGAAAGATGCTTGAGTCAGGAAAACAAAATCTACCTTTGTTGATGTAAAATGTGTGCCTTCTTGATTATTACAATGTCTTTCCTTTCCTCTTTTGTGCTATAGAAATATAGAATCATAAAACTTAATTGGGATGAGGAAGGAGGGAAGCTCAGGGCTTTTTATAAAAATATATTAAAGCTGAAGAATATTTAAATGCTGACTATTCTTTTTGGAGTATTCCATTATCTTTCTGTTGCTGTCCTCTGGGGTTTAGCCAGGTACTCAGGCAAAAATTACCTCATTGAGAGGTAAGCTTATTTTGGAAATTAAACAAGACAATTTGAAATTACTTGTCTGCTGAAAACAAATCCTAGAATAGGAATATACAGTATTTTACAGCATGCAGTAATACAAGTGGATGTTAAATGAAATCATTTTAATATTAGAAACTTTTATTTTCCACTTATGAAGGGTTTTTAAAGAGTATATCTTTCTGTGATGATTTTACAAACATGCACAATTAATATTTATAACACTCCTAACAGAGGGAAGTTTATCCAACACATGGAATGAAAAATTCAGTTCTTTGCAGAAAACACCCATTTGGAAAGGCAAGAATGCAGGGGCCACAGTAGAAATGGTAAGGAGCAACGTGAATGTTTATTGATTTATATTTCTTAAGTTTTTGAACCCAAGGTGTCTTACATGAAATTATCAAGCACTGACTAGATCCAGATTGGCCTTCCTTCATATTTTTAACATTTGGGAAGAGAAAAAAAAGCATCCAGCTTCATGGGCATACAATGAGGTTATAGTTCAAAACATTTTTGGGATTCTATGGATTTCATATTTTAATTGAAAGCTAAGACAGAAATCCTGTGCAGAGTATTGTAAATTAATTGAGGCTAAAAGGTGGAGGTAGTAGTTGGAGCAGCTGAAAACCACCCTGTAAATTAATGGCTGAGATTTTATTTGAGCAGGGGCCTTGGCAGTTCATCCACTAAGCCATCCAGAATAGTCTCAAACCAGCAGTTTCAGAGAATACTCTAGCATCTTCAGCTGAACTGTATTTGGACTGAAAAATATTTGAGAGCCTGCTAGCACATCAGGCATATCAATTTTCTAAATCTAGATAATATAGCTCTTGTTTATCTACTCTCACAGCTTCTGAGATCAAAATTCAATATTTTAGGGTAGATTGTGTCAGCAAACACGGACGTTCGAAAACATCCGCGTAAGCCTGGACAGAGAGTAATCAGGAGTTTGCACACGCTAAAATGGGCTGAGTGAGTCCAAGCTCAGCTAGCCATGCTACAACACTCCATCTTACAAGTCTGCCCACATAAGAACACCCTTGTACTCTCAGATATTACTGTGGAAAGATCAAGTGGGCTTTGTAGTCCTTAGACTTAACTTGCACCACTGGCAGGACTCCTTAAGTATGCTAGGCCAAGGCAGCACTCTCAGATGACCCTAAGACAAGTGTACTGTTCAAGAAACCAATTGAGTTTTATAATCATTATTTTATTTAAAAAAATAAGCATGTTACTAGGTATCAAAACCAAACTAAGTTAAGGCAAGTAAATAAGCATTGTGTTAGTTATTTACAACTCTGTAGTGAGGCAAAGAAAACATGAAAAATAGAAAAGTGTT